AGGAGGAGGAGGAGGAAAGAGGGCAAGCAGGAGGGACGCAGTGTTGAGCGGCAGAGGAGGAGGAGCGAGGAAGTGAGAGGCTGCATGAGATATTACGGCACACACGAGCTTTCTTCCTCACCTTCCTCCCTCTCTCTCATGTTGATCGGCCGATGGACAGGGGGAGGAAGGGGAGAACCAGGAGGTCGGAGGGAGCCAAGGGAGGAGCAGGGAACGGCAGTGTAGGAGGAGGTGGAGGAGAAGGATTGTTGGTTGCCCTCACTCCTGGCTGATGCCAGGCCTGAGCTGGAAGAGGAGCTGAGAAGAAATTCGCCGCTGACAGTCTTCATCCTCTGGTGGAAGTTGGAGGAGGAGACGTCCGGGTCCTTCCATGTGCCGTCAGACTCGTACTGTGAGCCAGAGTTTGATAAAGTTGTGGAGGAAGGAAGGAGAGGAAGAGGAACGAGGAGGTTGAGGATGTGGATGAGAAAGAATGAGGAAGAGGAGGAACGAGGAGGAGGAGGAGGAGGAGGAGGAGGAGGAGGAGGAGGAGGAGGAGGAGAAGGAGGAGGAGGAGATCTGCACAGACATTGTGTATCATTGATGTTTCTCCTCTGAGTTGTGAGCTGCATCTCAGGGTCAGTTTGCTCTTCACCATCAGGGAAGTTTTTGACCCACCGCGACTTTCCGCCTCCTCCAGCCCCTTGCTGAGATGGTGCGTGCGAGACATGACCTCGTTCTTGACGAGGATGTCGCTGAAGATCCTGGAGGAGGAGAGGAGAGGAGGAGGAGAAGCGAAGGATGAGAAGAAGAGGATGGATGAGAAGAGCAAGTGGAGATGAGAAGAGGACGGAGCAGCAGCAGGAGGAGGGGGGAGTATAAGGGTCAGCACCAGCCATTTCAGCCTCTCATCCAGCTCTTACTCCTGCTGCCGGACAAGTTCCTTTCCTTCCAGCGGCTCCTCGAGTCGATCCTCCTCCTCGTCCCCGGAGAACATGTCCTCGATTATGTGCTCGTACCTCGACAGGATCTGCGGCAGCCGTCAGCCTGCTCTGCGGGAGGAGGCAGCGGCTGCGCTACCGTCGGTCGGTTGATCGCCTTGGTCCGGACCAGCATGCCGTTGTGCTCAGTGAAGTCCTCGCGGAGGATATGGAAGCGACGAATCTGCTGGTGGTGTGAGAGGAGGCGAGAGGACGGAGGAGGAATGGAGTCGTTGAAGCGGAGGAAGAGCAGGCAGAGGATGAGCGAGAGGAGCAGAGAGATGAGAGTCATAGAGGCGGAGAAGGAGGAGGAGGAGGAGGAGGAAAAGGAGAGGGGAGGGGGGGCTGGGGTTGAGGAGAAAGTTGCGGCGGCAGTCCTACTTGTATCCAGCTGTCTTCTTCGGACGGATACATCTTTCTGCTCACCATGGAGGTCAGAGAGAGAAGGGAGGAGAGAAAGAAGAAGTCAAACAAGGTGGGAGGAGGAAGGTCTGACGCAGAGTGACGAAGGAAGGAAATGGTTGGAAGGAGGAAGGGGGAGGAGGGAGTGCTAGGAACAAGGAGGAAGGAAGAGGAGAACGGAGGGAGAGGAAGGGGGCAAGAGGAGGAGGGGACAGAGTCAGAGGCAGCAAGACCTGATGTACTGGTTCGCGACCTCGATGCTAGATCCTATCGTGCTGAGGAATAGCGGACATCGTCGTGCTGACATGACCGTTGACGCTTCACTCCCCGCCTGACATCAACTCATATGAGACAGCAGAAGAGGTGCCCTCCTCCCCTCGAGCCTCCTCTACCCTCCCACAGGTATCCTTCAAGAGCGGCTTCCCGCTAGCAACAGAGGGAGGAGGAGGGACAGCGAGCTGCTTGACAAGCAAGACTGACGCAACCCACAAACTCTTTTACCTTGCTCGCCAGCTGCAACCCGCTCAGACCGAGGGCAAGACCGTTCCCGCCAGACTTCAGCGTCAGGAGGCAACCCAGCTGCCATGACTTGTCACAAGCATGTCAGCCAGCGGGCCCTGCCTCTTGCCTTGTTGCTTTTCGCATGCCCGACTATCATGCAGCGGCTGACAGCGTCGCTGCAGTGAAGCAAGAGCCACTCGAACTGCAAGGGTGTAACTCGTCACAAGCATCTCCTCCTCCTTCCCATCCTCCTCCTCCTCCTCCTCCTCCTCCTCCTTCTCATATCATCATCATCACCACCACCACCACCACTATCATCATCATCATGATCATGTTCATATCGATTCTTCTGACAGTTCTGCAGATAAAACCAACCTCGTTCGACTCGATCCTGCCATCATCGTTACAAGAACACGCTTCAACACGTCACTCGCCACCATTTTCCATCGGAGAGAAGCAGTCGTGCGATTGCCAGTGCATTCCCCGACTTCACGGTTCAAAAAGTTCAGCGAGGAATACATGGCAGGAGATCACCTGGGCAGCAAGAATCGCAGAGTTTGCGACACAGTGTCTCCTAAGGAAAGGTAAAGGAAAACATCGATCACTGACGAGACTACCGTTTCTTCACCACCTCCTCCTGATCTTGCATCGTACGATGACTCTGACGGGAAATGCTCAGTGGTTGTACCTCATGCCAAACTTGGAGGACAAGAGGACGACGCTGAAGACTGGAGGCGCATGTCAGATGTTCTGTGTCAATTGTATTCTGCTCTCTCCCAGATGAATTTTCACTTTCAAAGCCTCTGCGTCTTCCCGAGTACTTTTCTATGCATCCGCCATGTATCCCTGCACTTTTTCCTCTTTCGTGCTCTTAACTCCCGGAGTCCTGTACTTGATTCTTCCTGGTTAAGTTCACTTCCTCTACGTGTCACTGTCCTAGGGTCTCAACTTGAACCCTCCATGTCTCTTCGTTCCCTTCCCGGCCCGTCCCTTGCCACCATCTTTCCTTCGCTCGTTCGCCGCTTTCATCCCGATCACTATATCACATACCTCGACCGTTCTTGCACCCCTACCCCCCTTTTCCACTTGCTTACCACCCTTACTGAAAGGAACCGATTCATTTGATTGTCGTTATTGACCGTTATCATCTTGTCAAAAAATTCCGGGTCCGACGCCGACTCCGCCCACCATCATAGTATTCCGTCACCCCGGGCCCGGGCCCGGGCCCCGGACCCCGGCGGGCCACCGTCACGGGCGCCGCCGGCCGGGCTCTCAGCCTACGAGTCCGGGCCGGGCCATCAATGCCGGCCAGTGCCGCGCGGCCATCTTTGGCAACAAGATTTCGAACTGTTTACTCAAATTTCGAAGTACACTTGAAGGCTCCGACGATGGCACCCTCAGCTCAGCCAAGATATGCTGGAAAACCGTCCGATGATGATGATTGCTCAATGGAAGGGTCTTCTGGATCAGATCAGAGAGACATCAAGTAGTTTCAGTAGCCCAATCATGAATGATGTTGCACCGCGGCAGGTGGTAGTGAAGTTTCACTTGGTTTACTGATCTATTCGTTGGTGGACAAACAGCCCACACACAAGCTTTACTACGATATTCTATGATGTTACATGTGCTGTGCTGTGCTGTGCTGTGCTGTGCTGTGCTGTGACAGATGCGACATCGTCAATCGGATGCATCCTTGCTCCCACATGAGCCTCATGGTACAGATCTGTACCATTAAAGCGCCCTAGTGTTCAGCCAGGAATGGTATGTGCTGATCGTGTGTATCCCATCCTCCCATTCTCATCCTGCCATGCGCTTCTCAGATGGTTGACTTCTTAATCGTTGTCGCACACGCTCTTGCAAGCTGACAGCCAAAACATTTATTCATACATCACCCTCTATCAAACATCCTATAGTACAGTTGTCGTCATGACCCGGCATCGGTGCCTCCTCCATGGCGTCATGCTGCCTCTACATCCCCCGGAGCCTGGCTGCACTCCGTTGCCTTCCTCCTGGCCTCCAGTAAGTTCGTCAAGCAGCTCCTTCTTCCTTCTCCCTCTCCCGATGCCTTCACGACAGGCTTGCAGGATATGCCAACGGGTCTGAGCGAACGCTTGAGCGAGAGCCTGCTGCTGGGAGCCGGTAGCCAGTCCTCCTTGAAGCGGATGGTGCGGGGAGGGAGGACTGGGCCAGTGCACATCGCGAGTGAGGAGAGCAGGGGAGCAAGTCCTAGTTTGATTCCTGGGGAAGGGTGTGGTAAAGATCGGAACACTCCGCTGCCAGGATATGAAGCGATGAGATCGTTTGTCAGCAAGGAGGTACTTGCCTGGCAAGGGTCAAATGCAGGAAACGTAAGAGACAGATGGAGACAATTGAAGGATTATGGACCATGAGGGTATGGGGGTGTGGGGGACCAAGAGGCTGACGACGGAAAACTCTGTATGTCATATTTGACTATGAGGCGAGTGCCGCTGTAAACTTCTTCGGGCTCTTGCTTTATATCCTCTAGTACCATTTCTGTACCATGACAGCTCCGAACGCAACGGTTGGGGAACTTCGGAATGCCAGTCCAGGCCCGGTCAAGCCTCCTCAACTCTCCTGCCATGATTGTAAACGCCACCGCCCACTGCCCGCAGCGAGTCGAGTCGCCGGCCTCAGCAGCCCGGGGGGCGCTTCAAGTATTTGGGCCGGGCCGCCGGGTCGGGGCGGCCCGGGCCGGGCCGCCCGCCGCCGAGTCAGCATCCGGCGGACTCAGTCCGGCGGATGCCTCAGGAGTCAGTAAGTAGGGTCAGTGGGGGGGATGCGGTATCGAAGATTTTCCCGCTCTTTCCATGCCGACAACCTCGTATCAGTGGTGGGAAGGTAGCGACGAGGAGAGGCCGAGGACAGGGAAGAGGAGAGGGAGAAGGGGAGGGATATATGAGAGAGGGTCGATGATGGTGAGAAGAAAGCGCGACAACAGCAAGAATCTCACGGGATTGAAAGAATTTGAACACGTAAGAATCTGTTTTGCTGCGTAGTAGGCTGTCCGTTTGGAGGTAGAGAATGGCCGCTGTGGATAGCGTGTCATATGATGTGTTCTTTGAAGATGATCTTTCAAATGCCATGCTATCAACTGGTGTGTACACCCGTTCACCAGCAAGTTTTGGTGCTGAACAAGACCCGAACGGATCTACAGGATCATACCGCAAGGACCTGCGTTTGGGAATGTATCACATTAGCAGCGAAGTGATCAATACAGAAGAAGCCAGCAGTGGCGATGAGTGTTTCTCAGAAAAGTTTTGTGAGAATGTGTTTCAACCCACAGAAAGCAGACCAGAACAATCTCGGTATACACTCAACAAAGAATTCTGCAGTCGACAGAAAGAAACAGAAAGAAATGCGAGCCTCGACAGAAAGAAATGCGAGCCTTGTCAGGAGCAAGAAGCAGTTGCAAACAGTGAGGTGACTGCACCTCTGGCTTCATTCTCTTACGATGAGTCCTTGGGATCTCAACACTCTGTTCCACCTGAAGTGGCATTTCCTTCAAATCAAGAAGGACAGGTTCATGGTGCGGTGCACAAGTCAAAGAGGAAGCAATCCCAGACAGCAACTGATCAATCATGCGTGAACACCTCTTATGAAATTCAAGACTCAGGATTGAAGAAAGTGAAAAGAACCTCATTTGACAAACATGACTTTGAAATGGTGTGCATATCTGAAACCGAGAAATCGAATAAAATGTTGGGAAATCAAAATGATATTTCAGAAACAATAGTAATGTGTGAAGGAAGTCATAGCCTTGCATCATTGCAGTCAAAAATTGAGATTCATCTGACCTCAACCGGGAATGTGGAACTTAATTTTGAGTACCAAACAACCGAAAAAGACCCAGAAAAAAATACTCTACCGCATATATCACACCAAGACGGTGAAACCAACAAATCAAAACAGAAAGAACCGTGCGGAGAAGGAATGCCAGGCTACCCTCGCAGGCCAGTCAGGGGACAGCTGGCAAGGCTTCACGACGGGCGGGGGGAGACGGCTACAGGCATCAAGTACAGGACTGAAGAAAGCAGAGGCGTTGTTCTCAGGGCTGGCAGGCGGGGAGGCTGGCAGAGAGACAGAAGAAGGTGCGGAGAAGGAATGCCAGGCTACCCTCGCAGGCCAGTCAGGGGACAGCTGGCAAGGCTTCACGACGGGCGGGGGGAGACGGCTACAGGCGTCAAGTACAGGACTGAAGAAAGCAGAGGCGTTGTTCTCAGGGCTGGCAGGCGAGGAGGCTGGCAGAGAGACAGAAGAAGGTGCGGAGAAGGAATGCCAGGCTACCCTCGCAGGCCAGTCAGGGGACAGCTGGCAAGGCTTCACGACGGGCGGGGGGAGACGGCTACAGGCGTCAAGTACAGGACTGAAGAAAGCAGAGGCGTTGTTCTCAGGGCTGGCAGGCGAGGAGGCTGGCAGAGAGACAGAAGAAGGTGCGGAGAAGGAATGCCAGGCTACCCTCGCAGGCCAGTCAGGGGACAGCTGGCAAGGCTTCACGACGGGCGGGGGGAGACGGCTACAGGCGTCAAGTACAGGACTGAAGAAAGCAGAGGCGTTGTTCTCGGGGTTTGATTGTGTCGAGGAAGGTGAGTCGCAGGCTGAGTGTATGAACGGGTATACGAACGGAACTCGGGATGAGGCTTCCCCTACTGATAGGAAAATGTTTCCAAGTCCGAAGGTACCCGCTCAAATTTTCTTTGTTGTGTTGAGTTTAGGATCTGTTTACGATGTCGATCAGAAATCTCTTGATTCGACGGGGCCTTTTGTAGTTTGCATTTCCAGTGCTGTTGAAAGGTAACTATCTGTCGTGTTGATGTTCACTTGTAACATTTCTCAGCACTCAGAACTCTGGTCGACGAATAAGTAGTTTGTCACAGCCATCAACTTTCAATAGCTTCAATGCAACCCCTCAAGATTTTTCTGCTCGTTCGCCTGAGGTTGATCACAGATCTAAGTACCAATCAAAGACGGAATGCTTGTCGCAAAGTTCAGATCGACTTCAGGACAAGTGTGTCACCCCGATATCAAACTCAACTCCTAGCTCTTCGTTCTCTTCCAATACTAACTCAACGCCATATGGTCTTGTTTCTTGCAAGACATCCTCTGCTTCAAGATTTCGCAAGCCATTTAAGATGCCGCGGCGGACGGAGTGTACAGCATCAAAAGAGAAGACAGTTGAACGCAGAAAGATTTCTGATTCTTACCTTTATGAGAACATGCCACTTGATCAGAAATTGGTCACGCCCAAATTGCTGTTCTCCCCGCGGGGTGACAAATCCAATGTTGTGCACGAGCTATGTGGTACTTCGAATGTTCTACAATTGTCCAAAACTGCTACAATTGGTCTTCACGACGCAGTGCATGGAGCATTTCCTTTTTCAGATGAATCAAATGGAAATATCAGTATCCAAGACTATGTCAAAATTGTTGGGATTACTGCCAAAAATGCAGTTAATGTAAAATTGCCTTGTGAAAGCAGTATATTCTTTGACAGTAACCAGCGGGAAACAAAGAATAATCATGCCCAAGTCGGTGTGGATGAAATGTTTTCGAGGTTGCAAACAGTTAATAAGACAGGAGAGTCACTCGATGAGGGGTGGGCTAAACAGCACTACAGCTTGATTGTTTGGAAACTAGCTTCCATGGAGAGAGCTTTTCCGTCGATCTTTGGAGGAAGTTGCCTCTCTGCCGATAAAGTGTTCTTGCAACTTCTGAATAGGTACGACATAGAATATGTTCGGGGGAAACGGAGTGTTTTGACGAGGATCAAAGAAAGAGATGAGCTTGCGTCAATTCATTTGGTTCTTTGCGTGTTTGAAATTACGTCTGAAGAAACCACAGTAAGAATGACAGATGGATGGAATTTCGTTGATGTCATTTTGGACGAGGTTTTGGTCACTTTCGTGAGAGGAGGTAAGATTTTCGTGGGACAAAAGTTGAGATTGTACGGGTGTGAAATCATTCATCGAGAAGGAAAAGGAATAGCATTAAAGGCTGGAGTTAACAATACTCGAAGGGCTGAATGGTATGCCAAGCTTGGAGCGCAAAAGTGCAAGCCACCTTTTTTTGGGCTCAAGTCGATAAGACCTGGCGGTGGCGTTGTCCCTCGCATTCTGGTGGTCGTGCAGAGAGTCTTTCCTGTTTTGGTGATGGAAACTGATTCGAAAGGAAGGAAGGTTTGGAAATCATTAGAATTATATGCTAGGGCCCGGGAAGAAGTAAACCGCAAGCACGAGGAGTGTTGGGAGGAATTTTTGGCAAAGAGGGTTTGTTGCGATGACAGCGATGAGAATGTCAATCTTTCTGAACAGATTGCTGATTTAAGGACAGAATTTCTGTGTACGACGGAGATGAAAGAGAGCGCAGCATGTCCTGTCTTTCGATTCAAGGTTACCTGCTTGCAGCAGCTAGCTTCGGAGTCACCTGTTCAAGCTTACATCACCTGCTGGAGACCTCAACCATCCATCGTCGAATCCATTCAAGAAGGAAAATGTCTTTCGATCTGCAATCTACAGTGCGGCAAAGTCACCAAAAATGATCGCATGTGTCTTTCCTTTCTGCCTGGAACTCAGATTTCTGCTTTTCACGATTCCAGAGCAGCTAGTTTGTTCTCGGAGAGGAAATTTCTCTCCATTGACAACCTTGACCATGTTTCCAACAGCGATGAATTTGATGTGATTGGAATAGTGGCGGCTATCGGCAGGAAATACGTACCTTCGGGGCAAAGGGAGCTCGAGGAAGATTCATATCATCAATTATTGGCATTGACATCAATCAAAAGGCAGATTGCTACAGAGGAACAAACTGACGTACAAGAGAAAATGGGCTCTCAATCTATCAAAGATTTTTTGATCGTCCGAATCAATCTGCATTCGGTCGCAGAGTTCAGACAGAGAGATTTGATAAGAGAACCTTTAGTAATTAGCGTGAAAGATCTCAGGTAAGAATATTCGCTGATGAGATTATTGCGCTTATATTTGTTGAAGGAACATTAACATAGTATCAAGTGTAAGCGAAGTCGGTGCAGTCTACACAAGCTTCGCTTCTGAAGAAACCGAATTCCTGGATAGGCCTCGCGGGTCTAGCTTGAACGAGAAATTGTGGGATAATTGCATGCTTTGGTCCAAGAATGCCAAAGAGGAGCTTGAGGTGAATGAGTTCTCCCTCCACTTTGTCTGAGCTTCTATTGCAGCACAAGTGTCGCCTTGCAGAGGAGGTGATCAAGGTTTTCATGATGTAGATGCATATTAGGGTCTATTCCTGTATTCGTTTTCTTCCTGGTGCTACTCTTACAGGTAGTGCTTGAGCCGATAGAGCAAAACCTGCATAGAATGGTCAAGTCATGAACAATAATGGGGCAGGAAAGATCTACCTTCCCCCTGTCGTTTCCTATTGCAAGAAAACGATTGTTAGCGCTGAAATCTACAGACGAGACATAGTGCAATGGTGTGGAGCTCGTGGGCCAGTTTGAGAAGACGCTGTTGGAGGAGACATGAAGTATCTTCAGACCCTCCTTCTTAACATGCGACGCCATTGCCAGCGCCTGCCCGTCCGGGCTGAATCGAAGCTGCGAGATCGAGGTCGTAAGATTCATCACGGACTTCCTGGTTGCCGGATGGATGACGCCGTAAGCGTCAGGGTCATGTCCATGGAACCCCCGGACGTCGTACGTGTTGACAACTCCGTTCTGCGAGCCACAGGCAAGAAGGCCTCCGTCGCCGGTGACAGCCAACGACGAGATCTTGAGAGAGCCTTCGTCTTCGATCTTCCTTACACACCTTCTCGTCCTCATGTCCCACTGATACACGATCGGGCTATCTCCAGCAGTGTAGAGGTAGCAGCCGTCTGGGCTGTAGGCGCAGCAGTTCACGTCGCAGTTCATCTTGAGATCGCCAATCTTCTGCTTCGTCTTCCTCGACAGGATCTGAACGCCTCCACATGTCGACAGGATGGAGATGAGCTTGTTGTCAGGCGACACGCAGAACTGTCCAAGAACGCGATCATGGTGCCCCAGGACTCCCTCAACCTTCTCGATCTGCGCTGCCGCCAGGTTATACACATAGAAGTGCTTCCGACGACCCGAGACAAACACTTCGTCTCCGTCAGCCGAGAACTCTGCGCTGGTGATGGGCAAGTCCTCAAAGTACACACTCTGTACCTTGGGGTTCTTCTTCCCGTCGACCTGGTAGAGGCGAAGCCTCTTGTCCAGGCCGGCAGTCATCATCAGCTGGCTGTTGGTATGAAACCGAACAGTCTGGATGACACAGTCCGGCACATCGGAGATGTTGGCGTCTTTCATCCTCTCGACGTCAAGCACCGCAGAAGGGAGGAGTCGATTCTGACTGCCCGTTAACTTTGCTGTAGACTTCAGCAGGTTCATCCCGTCCTCCTCGCCATCTGCCGACTTGACGTTTGCCGCTCGCGTCGCCCAAGACACGTTGTTGTTGACCTTGAGCACCTGGCTCCTAAGTCGCTGAGCATATTCCTCGCCATCAATCGCTTCCTCCTCCTCGCTTTTGCGAAGTTTTTTGAGGCGATCTTTTGACTTGATGTCAACCGAAACATTCTTGTCGTCTTCGTCCTGCCAGGCAGGGACATCCTTGCTTCCTGAGCTAACCATCGCCACTTCCTCTTCCTGTGCTGCCTCCTCGTCTGCTTCGGCCCCACTTGCTCCGAACAGAAGCTGCCTCCATTTCTCCTCCATGTCTATTCCATCGTTTTCAGCATCCTTTCCTTTCTTCTTCTGTTTTCCCTTTCCGTCCATCTCACCCGCATCTTGGCTGGAGGACGGAGCTTTCTTTCCCTTCTTCTTGTTCTCCCGGGCATCGTCGTCCTGCTTGCGGCTTGTCTTGCGACTCTTGACGCCTTCCTCCTCCTCTCCTGCCCTCCCGCCCTTCTTGTCTATCACGAACAGCATCTCTTCCTCCGCCATTTCGCACGTGCAGCAATCGGATACCAAATTCCAGTGACTGACCACATCCCCCCACCGTCATAGGCTGCGGCGCCCGGCTCGCCTCAGGGCCCGCCTCCCGGAGTCTGCCCTTGTCACTTGACGACTACTTGAACAATCCCTGAGAATACTGGGGATAAGAATCGGCCGTAGTTCGGCCAAGATGTACCTTGACAATCAGGGGCACTGTCAGGAAAAGAAAAATTGTTTGTGCTTCCCTCCATTCTGGGAGGGGGCCCGGGGAAACTGTATAGTCCTACCGTACTGTACCGCCGCCACTGAACCCAGAGCCCACAAAGCTGATGAGAATTGATGTAACATTCGGAGTCACCATGTGCTATCACGCCACTGTTCTTTATCTCCCCGGCTAGCCCTCCCTTCCGCTGCCCTCCGACGGTGACGGCTGACTGCGCCCTCCCGGCGCCATGTCAGGAACTTGTGACTTCGGAACTCGGGAATGCTTGTCCGATGGTTCCTCTGGAGGAACAAAATATCATTCCTTTGAAGGAACACTGTCACATGCAGAGTCGCCTCCGAGCCCGAGTCGAGCTGGCTGGATGACTAGCAAAGGGTGGTGTAGTGGAGGGACAGTGTTGAAGGGTAGGGACATATGCGTTCGCCACTAGCAAGAGATATAGAGGATATCAGAAGCAGGGGGTACGGGGGCACCGATCGCCATGATGGCGATGTTAGAAATTCCATGGCGAGTCCTTATCTTTCATTTCAGTACCGTTGAAAATTTTGTCAACTAATTTTCAAAGTTTAGATGACATATTTAAATGTTCCTCCCCTACCCTTAGTGTCTTTTCTTTCAAGTTCATTGGACACCCTACCAGCCGTGACTGATGGAACATGCACCATACCACCTGAAGCACCTATCCCTCTCTCATCCTCGTTTGATCTTAGTGATACACTTATAAGATCTAATCGCTCTAGCCGAGGTGATTATTGCAGTCCTATGCCATGCCCTTTGCTTCGACAACCCCTACCCCCTTCTCCAACCTACATATAAACAACCCACCTACCCCCCACGTTTGTCTCTGGCGATGCCGTCCAACTGCTATCGCTGCAAGGCAAGGAGCAGCTGAGATGAGACGCTTGCTGGCCTTGCATACGTGATGGAGATGCTCTCATTTAAGCCCTCCCCCTCCCCCTCCCCCCCCCCACATCTCTTCCTTCCATCATTCTCTTCCTGTATTGCTGGAACACTTGGTGGTGACCTTCATAGATCGCTTTTGACTCGCGTTGCTCCAGATCGTGGTCGATGCTTACACCACCAACAGCTCAAAATGCGTAAATACAATGGCTGTTGGACTTTTGCGATCTGACTTTGAAACTTTTACATTATCGAATGCTGGGTTCTGTTGGGTCGGATAGCGAGTAAGGATCTTGATCATTACATGTAGGCGGGTGTTGGCTGACATTGGATTTTGCACTTCCGTGTGTGTTCCTGGATGGCATCATCATGATGCTTACAGCTTGTAAGTCTGTTGCTGCCATGATGCCGTGCGGAAATGTTTCAGGCTAACATCATTGATTTCTGGTCGGTTGCTGACTCGGATGGGGTTGTGCGGGCGGGGATAATGACAGTATGTAAGTGTCTTGAATAACATATCACTCAGGGGATAGAGGGGACTGACATTGATTCATTGATAATATTTGTGTTTGGTTGCTCACTCGAACGGGTTTGATAGAATGTAAGTGTCTTGATTGAAGCTCGCGGTCAGGCATTCTCGGCTGACAATGCTTGTGCTTTTCGCTGTCTTTGGGTGGGCTGGATGGGTTGCGGGATCGGATAGCGAGTGAGTATCATGATGGGAGCATGCAGTCAGAGGATGATTGACTTACGTCTTGTTGATTTCAATCGCTGGTTTTACAATGCAATGGGCTTGTTGTCGGGATCGGGTAGTGGGTAAGAATCTTGATTGAATTCTCCGGCCCGTGGAGGGCAAGCTGACATTGATCGCGCCCCTATCTCCGTGCTTGGGATCGGATGGATGGGATCTTCGATCGTATAGGCGGTAAGTATCTTGATATAACATGCAATCGTTGGGTCGATAGGGACTGAAGTTGACAATTTCTGGTTTGATCTGACTCCCACGGGATTGTGTGTGCGGGTATAGTCTGTGAGTAACTAAGTTGATGAACAATCCGCTCAGGAGTCGACTGATATTGTTTGTGCTTGTTTTCGGTGCTTGGGGTTGTGTGGACAACTTGCGGGATCGGATAGTCGGTAAGTATCTCACTTGAAATATGCGGCCACAGGAGTGAGTCGATTGACTGACATGTGCTTGTGCTTTGTGCTGTCTTCGGGGTCGGATTGATGGGTTGAACCGGATAGGGAGTAAGTATCTTGAGATGAAAAGTAAGGTCTGCGAAAGATTTGCTGACTTTCTTGTGCTGTCTCCGTGCTTGCGTTCGGATGAATGGGCTATTCGATTGAATAGCGAGTAAGTATCTTGTTGGGAGCATGCGGTCAGAGAATCGCTGATTGTTGTTTCAGTGCTGCTTGTGCTACTTCGACAAAAAATCGGAAGAAGAACGATCAGACATGTGTCAACACTGCAAGGATCGACGCTCTCTCATACACGACCTGGAGGAAGGTCTTGTATCTGCCAATCCCAGCGCGCAGGAAGCATTCAAGAAGATCGAGGAATTCCGTGAGCACGTCAGCGAAGCGGGAAAGCCTTTCGCTGAGAGGCTAGACCTGGCCAAGTCTCACTACCTCTTCGGGATGCAGAAGGAGCCTCTTGCTGTGGACGCCGTGAAGCTGCTCATGTCAAACGGAGAGCTGGGAAAATGCTACAGCGTCGAGAAAGGCGAGCTCAACCTGTCTTTGCGAACAGGTAGCATGAAACGATACATTATACGAGAACTGAGAATGAAGACCCTCCCGGGGTGGATTGCCATAGTCGCCATCCCTATCCGGACCATTGACATCTCCGGAAACCCCAACCTTTCCAGCCTGCCCTTGGATGAGCTGTGCAGCATGAGAGATAGTCTGAAGGAGATGAACTGCCAAAACTGCATACGGCTGCAGCTGCCTCCACCAGAGATCGCCGGTCAAGGAGGAGAAGCAAGTTTCATGTACATGCAGAGTGTCAAGACGGACAGCGAGACAAACAAAAGGATGAATCTCATTCTGATTGGCAACGGGGAGGCAGGGAAGACGAGCGTGTTCAGAGCTCTAAGTTCTGTGGAGAACAAGGCTGGCAAGATCGATGTGGACAAGAGGACGATCGGGATAGATCTGGATAGATGGGAACCTGATGGGGCTGACGGGCTGACGTTCGACGTGATGGACTTCGGGGGACAAGAGGTCTACGGCAAGACGAACCAGTACTTCATTGTGAGGCGGGCCTTGTACCTGCTGGTGTGGAACGTGAGGACGACGAGAGATGAGATGAGTGCAGGTGGAGCCGCAGGGAGCATGAAGGAGCTGAGGGCGATGATTTCTACCTGGTTGCGAACGCTGCAAGCAAGAGTGCCGGGAGCGAGTGTGATGCTGGTGGCGACGCACATCGACATAGCTGGGCAGAGCGAGATAGAGGATCAGTCCGAGGAGGTGAGAAAATGTGTGCAAGAGGAGCTGAAAAAGATGTCAGAAGAAGAAGACGAGAATATTCTTCCCTTACATGTCATACGCGAAGGCGGGAGCTTCAGAGTAAACTGTCTTGAGGGAGAGGGAATCAAGGAGCTCCGAGCCTCTGTGTGCCAGGCGGCAAAGGAGCTGCTGTGGTGGAATGAGAGCATACCTCGGCCCTACCTGAAGCTGAGACATGCGGTGGAAGTTCAGTCAAAGAACGAGCCTTATTTGAAGGTAGAGCAATACTTGAAGATGTTGAAGGAAGCAGAAGTCGAAGAGAAAGAAGAGAAGATAGTGACGAGCTTCTTGCACGACATGGGAGTCCTCAAGTACTTCGGTCGGGAGCTGAAAGCAATGCATAGCAGGGAAGCAGAGAGCAAGTACTCCGTGGAAGACACGGTCTTCATTGACATCGAATGGATGATCGACGTATTCAAGGGCGTGATGCGACATGACTGGCGGCATCTCCTCGACTTCTTCCACCAGGACCCAACCAAGTCAAAGAAGACGAAGAAGCTGCTACACCTGGGCATCATAGACGAAGACATGTTCGAGTACCTGTGGCCCCAGCCAAACAGCAAGTTCTGGAGCGAAGAGAAGTCAGGGAAGTCATGTAGATCAGCTGAGATAGGCTTCACTAAGAGCCATGTGGAGGTCGAGCAGGCAGTGGCCCTGCTTCAGGGTTGCGACCTGGCACACTTCCTGGGTGCGGGGGAAATGGTTGATGCGGAAAACGAGGAGACCAAGAGGGAGCTGCTTTGCCCCGGCATCATCCCGTCGTTTACGCATCAGCACAAGCAAGCAGTGAGGGACTCGCATTCTCTGTGCGCACGCCTGCAATGCGAGTACAACTTCTTCCCCATCGGCTTCATCGACAGGCTGGTCGTGCTGTCCGCCGCTCGCCACTTTGAGGTAGACTGCAGCGGCTCGATGGCGGTGATGAAGGGCTGGGGGCGAACACTTGTGATGAGCTGGCGCGAAGACGAAGGCAAGCATATGGTGATAGCAGTTGCGTCGACGAGGCAGCAGATCGAGAACTTGGATAAAGACCTGAAGCGGCTGGAGGCGTTCTTTCCGGGGGTGAAAAGGAGGAGTGATAAGAAAGGCTCGGGCAAGGAGGCGGTGCAGGTTGGGATCTTTTCGTATGGAGTGAAGTCAGGAGAGTGTGCGTGCAATATTGAAGGAAATATGATGAACATATACAACGCAGAGAAACGCTGCATAGATCTCACATGCACGATCTACCGATGTGAGAGGCAAATTAGCGATCTGACTGATAATTGCCTCGTGAACATCTTGTGCATCTCGACCGAGTTTTTGGATGAGCTTGAAGCAAAGCAAGGAGGAGGAAGCTTCTGCGAGCGATGGAACATGTTGACCACGAGCAAAGCAGTCATCATCCCTGTTATTCTGAAGGATTATTATCACAAGCACATTGAAGGGCCTAGAAGGTTTAACAAGTGGTGGCCGCAGAGGATACAGAAGATGGAGCGATACAAGGTGTTCCACAAGTACATCAAGGATGACAAAGTCTCGATGTGCATGCTGTATGACAGTATCATTATGAAGTTGCATCACGGACGAGGGAGCTTCGAAGACTTGTTGGATGTCACCAGTCAGAACATGCTTCTGTGCGAAGATTGCTTGTATCAGATGTCCAAGTCTCAAGATCACTCGCGGGGCGATGAAGGTGTTGGCACATTTGATCCCTCAGAGGTGAAAAGAGCCATAGAAGATCGAAGAACCGGCATCACGACCAAACAGAGAGGGCTAGATAGAGAAGATTTCATCCAACGGGAGATCATGGTGAACTTTATCGCTTGCTCACGTGGTCACAAGAAGCTTGTAAAGGAGATGCTTGAGTTCAACAGCTCCAGCTCCCCCTGTCCGTCGTGCTTGAAGCAGAAGACTGTACCTCACTTCTTCAGCAGACCGACGTGTCTGAGCAAGCTTGCTCGCGACCTTGCGGCTAAAATTGAATGTCCTACATGTGGAATGCACGTGGATGTCTTCGACGTCACGCCTCCGCAGGTTTTCTTGAGCTACCAGTGGGGGCACAAGTGTTCGACGCAAGAAATGGTGAAGCAGGTGAAGCGGCGGATCGAGGAGCAGACAAGCTTGCAGTGCTGGCTCGACGTGGAGGGAGGGATCAACCCTGGTGAAGATCACATGCAGAAGATGGAGCTCGGGGTGTCTCGGTGCGAGGTGTTTGTGGTCTTCATGAGCGACAAGTACGTCAAGAGCGCCAACTGCAGGAGGGAGTTCGCGCGGGCGTGTGAGACAGGAAGGTATATCATCCCAGTGTTGGTGCCGGTTCAATTTCAACCGGATCAAGACTCGGCTAGCGGCTTAGAGTCCGAGTCCGGCTGGAAGGGCGACAAGAGGCATCAAGACTGGTGGAAGAGGATCTCTGGGATCGAGCAGGGCGAAGGAGCTGCGCTAGAAGTTGAGGTCAACTGGAGGCATTTCAAGTCATTTCCTCAGACCTTCGAGCTCGAAGCTGAGATGCGAGGAGAAAAGGTGCTGGTGAAGCGAGGTGTTCAAGAGCTGGTCGCGGCTGTGCAGGCAAGAGCTTACAGGGGAAGCATCGTCTGGCACGAGTTGAAGCCTGTAGCATGGGGAGCGAGCATCGCACGTTCTTGCGCAGAAGAGAAACCTGAGATGGAGCAACGGGTTCACCAAGAGGAGGAGCCGGAGAGCACACCAGGAGGGGAGGATGACTTTGGGGAGCAAGACGAGGGGAGATATGAGAAGCTGAATCCGATGGAGGAGCTGCTGGGCAGTGGAAGTACAACCCTTTTTAAGGATCGAGACAGGAGCAAGGATTACGAAATTTCTGCTGGAGATGGCGTGACTGGGGATGAAAAGTACGCCCTTGCAGAGTATCAGACGAAGGCGTCATCTTGTTGTGTCGTCAGTTAGTCGCTCGTTGCTCATCTAAGCCGGGCGATCAGACAAACTTGACGGTTGTAGCCAGCAGACTGACTCTGAGCCTGATGACTAATCAGTTGGTCCTGTGTAGAGAAAAGTATAATTATTGGCCCGGGCCCCGCTGCCGCTGAGCCTCCGAGAGTGTCACCCGGTACGGTACAACAACCGAGTCCGATCAGTTGATCACTGAGTAAATTTCGTGCGGCCGGGCGCGGCAAACTCGGCTGACGCAAGTGAGTGCTTGGACTCTGGCTGATCAGTGTCATATCCCACCCGGAGCCCGAGCTACATCATGGAGCCAGAGCTACGGTAGTACATCACAGTGAGCCCGACCTATGAAATGGAGCCCGAGCTATCATTATGAAATGGAGCCCGAGCTATGAAATCACGTTGAGAAAGTCTGTCTTGTTCTTGTGTTATCTACGGCCGGTGTGGCGAAGTTTCCGGCGAGTCCCGGCACTCGGCGTGGCATACCCGGGCATGCCAGGTACGCGCGGCGGCGTGCGGCCCGGCGGCGCCTGCACTGCGGCAAAGCCTCAGTGTGAAGAGGCACTGAGAGGCGGAAAAGCCTGTCACGGCGGGGCCGACTCAGCCTACTGCGGCGGACTCCCCGCCTCAGCGGCCACGACTCAGTGACTCAGAGTGGGGTAGGACCCCGATCTCGAGGGATGGAAACAGGGGTAGGGTGATCGATTCAAATCTTTGAAAACAACTCTTATGCCAGTTTTCGGATACTAAACGAAAATTATAATTGAAATTTCAAGTTATTTTATCAAAAATTCAAACACTCTACACGGAGGGGGAAAAAGTTCAGGACCGCCTTCAGGGTGCCAGCATTTGGTTTTCGGGTATCATGGGGAGGGAAGGAAGGGAGGGGAGGGAGGGGAGGGAGGGGAGGGAGGGAGAGCGACAGGAGTATGCAAGGTATGCAGGGATGTCGGTAAACAGATGCTACAAGGCAGAAGATCAACAGTTTCTCATGCCATCTGCCATAGATCGATCATTGTTGTCTGAATCATCCCTTACCAGGCACCATCGTGGATCCCCGTAATGTTTTGATATCCTTCCCCGAGGCCAGCAACGGTTTGCGAAATTCATCTCGCATGCTTCGTCTGATCCCCTCCGATCCCTCACAAGAACGATTCTAGGAGCATGCTGAATCATCCAAGGCAGCAAGATGCGCCGCCATCCAACCATCCGCACCCCCCGAGCAACCCTGGTGAGCAGCTGGAGTGTGAATTCCATGGCAGGTGCTGTCTGAAAGACTTCTATCTGATCCCCTCATGCTTCAGAGCTCTACGGCATCGGCCTCATGTTCCGTCACGACACGCAAGGGCTCGTCAGGATCTGCGGCATCCAACCGGATGGACCAGGTGGGTTGACGGACGAGAATTGTCTTACCAGCAAGAGTGACCTCTCCTTGCTCTCCTTGCTCTCCTTGTCCTGCTTCGTTTGTATCCTCTCCTTGTTCTCCTGACGTTCTTTCGCAGCGGCGGAGAGCAAGATGCTAAGCATCGACGATGTGCTGCTGGCTGTGGATGGGAAGAACGTGGCCGGACTCAGTAAGCGTTGGCTGCCGCGGCCTGAGATGAGAGTTGTGGTAACAGGCATTCAAAGCATCCGGAACCTTCTTGTCGGCTTGTTTGGGACAACGGTTGTCCTCGACGTTCAGGTTCTGTTGATCTCTGGTGGAGACAATATGGCTCATGTTTCATTCCTTCTGTTGGCATGCAGAAGGCCCAAAGTCAGACTGCCAGCCATGGGGTGTGCCCTTGCTAGTTCTTCGCCACTTGCCGTAGTCTGATCCGACTCATGCCTTCTCCTCCTCTCCTTTGTTGCTCCTCTCCTCTCCTCTCCTCTTCTTCCCCTCTCTTCCCGTTTCCCTCCTCCAGGTTCACTTCGGAGTATTCAGTTCGACTCCTTCGACAAGGTGAGCCTCCCCGCCCTCCCCAGAAACATCACTCTTCCAGAAAGTCCCTCCGCCTCTTTTGCTTCGTCCTATCATGCTCCTCCTTGCTCCCCGTGATCTCGTGGCGTGCTAGGAGGATCAGAGTGCAGCTGAAGAGGACCTACAAACCCAGTCCTCTCCCGCAAGGTTGTAGATCCTCTGACCTACTTCACCCTGTTTGACGATGTCATGTGTGTTAGCAGCCAACAACGTCGAGCAGGCGGCAGATGCTACGGGCGGTCCGAGCGCAAGTGAGACGAGAGAGGCGTCAGCAGCGCAGCAGCATTTGCACCCCTCGGATACCCGTGACGCGGGTGTGCTCAAGGACCAGCAAGATGGTAAGATGCACCGAGACGAAAGACCAGAGGGCAATGGCAGCGCACCCTTGAAGGCTGATCCGGAGGAGATAGACGCGACTGGTGTCAATGGATCGAGCGAAGCAGTGGAAACGAAGTTCCATGGCGAAGTGCACGAGGCCTCGGAGGCACAAGGAGGGCAGAAGGAGAGTGGTTTCAGCGAGAATGACTCTGCTGCTGCAGAGGATGAGGTGAAGGGAAGAGGAGAGGAGGAAAAAGAAGACATGCATGCAGCAACAGATCAAGTCAAGGAAGGGCAATTCCAGGAGAAGGACGTGGAGCTTGCCGAGAAGCAAGTGGAAACCGATGAGAAAGGGGAGGAGAGGCCTGAAGCGTCTGAGGGGCAGGAGAGGCAGCAGGATGGCGATGGGGAATCTACGTTGGAAGGAGAAGAAAAGGAGGCAGAGGCTGTGGTGGAAGAACAAGATCTTGGCATCAAGGAAGAATCACAGGAAGTAGCAAAGCCAGAGGCGGTTGAGGAACGATGCGAAGGCGAGAAAGAGGTCGAACTCGGGGAAGCAGGAGAGGAGGCACATGCTGAAGCGGAGGACGGACAAAATGGACAAGAAGTAGTAGAGGCTCAGGCAAGGGACGAGGATGAGTCGGCAGCAAAGGAAAGGGAGGAGGAGATGAGTGAAGTCACTTCGAAGAATGCAGAGGAGGTTGAGGAGCCAGGAGCAAGCGCTGCTAAGCAGCAGGGTGCTGAAGGAGGAGGCAGAGATGTCGCGTCTCCTGCACCAAAGGAGGCAAACCTTTCGGTGGAGATCTCGTCAGGCCTCAAGGTAAGGAGGTGTAGAACGATGTCAGGGGCTCACTGGGAGCAGGAGGTTGACGGTGGGCAGACGGCAAAGGAAGCTTCACAGCTTCTGAAGGTGAGATGGTGGGAGGGAGCATGACTGTCTCGTGACCGGAGCATGTGATGAGCAGGCAGAGCAGGAGAGGAGCAGAAACTCAGGAACTCCTCGTGCAGTCTCGATGCTCAACAGGAAAGACCTCCACGAGCTCAAGACGTTCAAAGTGCCCTCCTCCCCATGCATGCTTCGCATCAACGGCTCCAGGTTCCCCTGCGTCTCTCGCGTCCCATGCTCTTCCTCCCTGCTCGCAACCAACGCTGTGAGTGTGGTCTGGTGCCCCTCTGGCCGGATCCTCGTCTGGCATGGCGCGTCGTCGAGCGCGCAGGAGCGGGTGAAAGCGCTGGAGATCGCTTCTGCTCTCAAGGACATAGAGCACTGCGCTAGGGGAAAGATCCAGCGGGTAGAGGAAGGAGACGAGGAGGGAGACTTTTGGGAGCTGGTTGGCCCTCCTCTTACGGAAAAGAAGGTGTCAAGTCTGCCGGACGAGTCGAGCTACTGGAGCGCGATGGAGGTTTATGGATGGAGGGAGGAGGACGAGAGAGTCGAGGTGAGCGAGAGGCCCTTGCGGCAGCAGATTCTGCGATCAGACAGCTCCTTCGTGATCGCCTCCTCCTTCATCGGTATCTTCGTGTGGGTCGGGCGTGAGAGCTCGCAAGCAGCTGCTGAAGCTGCACGAGCAGAGGCAGACGCGATGGCTGCGAAGATGCGAAGAAGTACGAGGAACAGAGCGAGTAACGGGAACCATGCAGGAGAGGAAGGCGACGAGGAAAGAGCCAACATGGACGGGGAAGAACATGACTGCAGCACTGAGGAGGAAAAAGGCAGAGCGGAAGATGGGGCAGAACATTGTGTAGAAGGGACTGGGGGTGAGGAGGGTGTAGCTGAAGGTGGAGAACAAAGGGAAGATGACGAAGAGGAGAATGTGCAGGAGGAGGAGGCAGGTCAAGAAGAGGAGGACAGCAGCACTGGAGGAAGGGAAGGAGGGGAGGAGGTGGAATTTGAGGTGGAGACAGTGCTGGAAGGATGGGAGCACAGCATCTTCAAGTCGCTCTTTGTCGACTGGCTCACTGCGTGCGGCACCAGCAGCAAGCAGCAAGTGGCTGCCTCGAGCCCGATCGTCGACGGGAAGCAGCTGGGGAGGCAGGCGAGGGCGACCATGACCCCGACCTCCAAGGGGGTCAGGAGGAGGTCGGACGGGCACGTGGAGCTCGTGTGCGTGCAAGGGAGGAGGTTCATCACGGCGAGGAGTATCGACCCTGTGGCAGCTGCGGTGAACAATCGTGACATATTCATCCTCGATACTGGAAGGTGCGTGTACCAAAGGAACGGCAGGCAGTCCTCCCCTCAGGCCAAGGCCAAGGCGGCAGAGATCTGCCTGGCATACGTCCAGATGCATGCGGGGAAGGCTCTGCATGTTGTGCTGGACCCTGATGATGACAAGGAACAGACGGGAGACAGCCTGGAGTTTTGGAACAGACTGGGAGGACGAGGAAACGATAGAGGGACTGAGGAGGAGGAGGAGGAGGAGGCAGCGCCGGATGAGAGCGAAATCAAGTCGAGGATCAAGCTCTGGAAGGTGGGGGACGGCGGGGAGGCGATGAAAGAGATCCCGAGGCCTTACAGGCAGAGCTGTCTGTGCTCCGACGGCGCGTTTGTGCTCAGCTGGGAGGAAGAGCAGCTGTTTGTCTGGACGGGGAACATCGCGTCGACCAAGACGAAGCAGAAGGCGTTTGACTGGGCGGCTGAACTGCAAAGAGAGACGGAGAAGAAGAAGAAGAAGCTGGTAGCGGTGGAGGCGGCGGTCCAGTACGGAGAGCCGCCGCTGTTTCGCTCCCATTTCATCGGGTGGATCTCCGATCGCCTGCCCGACAGGAGTAGACCTGAGGAGAAGGCCAGTCACGAGCCTGCCAACTTGAAACTGGACAGCACGAAGATCCTTGAGAAAAGAGCTTCTGAGATCGACCTGGAGGCCATGGAGGGGAGTGGAGGCGCGACTCTGCCGCTGATCACGCCGGCTGTCAAGCACGATGATGGTAGCACTGGTTCGTGCCGAGTGTGGGTTGTAGAGCAAGGAAGGCTCAAGGAGGTGGAGGCTGAGGTGGAGAAGGGGAGGGAGGAGGAGAACGAGACGGCTAGCCGTCCGCTCGTGCTTGACAGCAGGCACTGCTACGTGATGCGATACACCTACTGCCCCGGGATCGACAGGCAGCAGACTAGGAGCATCACATACGTGTGGCAAGGACGGTGGGCGGGAAGAGCGAGCGTAGCAGCAGCGGTGATGTCGATGAATGAAGTATCGGCATCTTCGACTTCCGCCTTCCATGACGACAAGGAGGTCGTTCAGGAGGGAAAAGAGTCGCAGCACTTCCTCATCGCCATGGGCAAGGCGCTCATCATCACTCCAGCCGAGCACACGGACGAGGGCAGGACGGAGCAGAGGAGCAGGCTGTTCATGGTGTGCGACTTCGGCGATGCTCCGTCCTCCGGCGCAGCAGTTGGGATGGCGGTGGAGGTGAAGGCAAGGATGGAAAGTTTCTACTCAGGCGCCTGCTACTTCCTCATCCCCTCCCAAGAGGAGGCGGGAGGCAAGGGCAGCTCAGTCGTGTATGTGTGGATGGGAACCGTCGCCAGGCAGCCGATGCGTGCGCTGGCAGAGACATGCGCCCGTGCTCTCGTGACGGCAGACGTGGAGGTCAAGCAGGTGGAGGAGGGGGAGGAGACGAAGGAGTTCTTGAAATGCCTGGGGGACGCGGAGAAAATGTCAAACTATGCTCGAGTGAACTTGAACGACGGCGGGAGAGCAGCAGGAGAGCAGCTGATGGGGTTGACCCGATTGTTTCACTTCGAGATGGCTGGGACGATGGTGAGGCCGAGGGAAGTTGCTCGCCCTTCTGCTCCGGTGAGGAGGAGAGGGAGGAGGAGCAGTGGGGGATGAGTTTGGAGAGGAGGGAGGAAGAGGAAGGCAGCGTCGGAGCCGTTCTTTCCTTAGATCACATCTGCTGTAGGACCTCCTGGAGGCGCCGACTGGGATCTGCATGGTTGACCGTGCGGTAGTCAAAAGCTGTTTGACCTAACAACGTCTCTTACTCCTCCTTGCAGGACCCAAAGAGGCTCAGTGGCAGCTTGTATGTCTGGTACGAGCGAGATTGCAGTGAACAGGTTGGAAAATTAGTCGCATCTTCGTTCTTCCTTGCTGCTGCTGCTGCACTTGCTGCTGCTGCTGCTGCAGCTGTACTTGCTGCTGCCGCCGCTGCTGCTGCGGCACCTGCGTCTGCTGCACATGCTGCGTCTGCTACTGCTGCACCTGCTGCTGCTGCCGCTGCTGCTGCCCCTCCTCCTGCCTCCTCCTTCTCTTGTCTGTTTCTTTTGACTCGCAGTCTGCAGAGACTTCAGTCTTGCCTCTCGGTCGCCAAGCGCTACTTGGACGCTCGCAATCGTCGACTTCAGTCCCAAGGCAAACACACTATGCCCACCTGATGCTTACCTGATACTCTTGCTGACTCTTCTCGATCCTTTGACCAGGTGCGTCAACGGAGAACTACGATGAAGAACCGACGCTGATCAAGCAGGGAGAGGTGGAGAACTTCCTTGTCTCCTTTGCCACTGAGAACTTCCATCTCTCCTGCTCCTTTCCCCTCCTTCACCTCCTTCACCTCCCCTCCCTCCTTCACCTCCCCTCCCTCCTTCACCTCCACCTCCTTCCCTTCCTTCCGCTCCTTTCCCTCCTCCCCTCACCTCGACGAACTCATCGGTCTCGCTCCTACAGGAGACGGCTGACTTCTTCCGATGCTTCATCGGCATGGATCGCTCCTTTCAACTGCAAGACCGACCAGCTCTCCCCTCCTTCCTTTCCTCCTAGTCTCGCGATCCGCCATGAAGGGCCAAACTGCTCCAACTGCTCTCCAGCTCCTGACAGGCTGACGTTAGCGAGATAGTTGAGAGCGGCGGGTAGCAGCAAGTTGCGCAAGCTAGAGATCCGATCAAACAAGACTGCCGGAGCAAGACGACATGTTTTCTTCAACGATTAGCAATAAATTTATGAGGTTTACAACAGCTCCCCACATGTTTTCTTCAACGATTAGCAATGAATTTATTAGGTTTACAACAGCTCTAGGGTCGTTCTACTCCCTCACTCGGGCTCCCTCAGCTGCCTCAAGAAGAACTTCTGAGCATGCGATCGCACTTGCGCCACCGTCCTCGTCCCCACGGTCTCTGCGATCAACTCGGCGACGCCATGCCCGAGGCCCACGTAGACCCTGCCGTTGCTGGTCCTGGCGTCTATGGACGAGAAGGTTCTGACGGCCTCTACAAACCTCTCGTGCTCGTCACGAGACCATGGGCGACGGTTAACCTTACGAGGACCCTGGACGTCAACCTGTGCCGTCTCAATCATCTGACATAGCTCTATCCCATCCGTCTTTGTTGCATCGTTGTGCTCGATGTCCTGCGGTATGACAGAAGCAGCTAGTCTGAACTCAGCCTCATCTGAAGACGCACTGAAGCAACATGGAGATCCGCAGAAAGAGCCCAAGTCTGACTCGGAGCTCGAGCTTACTACGCTCAGAGCCTCGTCTGTAAAGACATCTTCGGGATAGAGCGCCGCAATGGCGTCTTCGAGGTCACAAGACTGGAGATCAAGGCTGGTTGTATCGAACATGACAGGCAGATGAGACGAGCAAGGTGGTTGAGGAGGAGGAGCAGGAGCAGGAGCAGGAGAAGGAGCAGTAGGAGCAGGAATAAGAGAAGGAGTAGTAGTAGTAGTAGTAGTAGTAGTAGTAGTAGTAGTAGTAGTAGTAGTAGTAGTAGTAGTAGTAGTAGGAGCAGCAGTAGGAGCAGGAGCAGGAGCAGGAGCAGGAGCAGGAGCACAGGCAGGAGCAGGAGCGCAGGCAGGGGCGGGGGCAGGTCTTATGGAGGAGCGGACGACGGAGGGATTGCAGTTTTATCGTCTCTAGCGAGAAGGGTTAATAATACTTTTATATCTGCACCTGTCAGCAACGACAGGATATGCTCGAGGAGCACGTCGAGACATGACTCTGTTCACCTTGGATGACAGGGATTGAGGGGGGTGGGGTGGTGTCACGTGCTATAGTAAAGATATATCAAGAATAAAATAAATATAAATTGGGACAAGATATCTTTAAAACCCCCTTGCGTTGCACCTGCCCCCTCCCTTGCACCTCCTGCACCTTATCAGCTCCCCGCCCCCTGTTCTCCTTATGTGAAACCTTCCTCGTGACTGTTTATCCTCCTCCTCCTCCCCCCTCCCCCCATCTCCTCCATCACCTTCTCCCCTTCTCTTGACGCCTTAAGTGACACTTCTTTCATACGAACTCCTGGCGCCCTGTGATGGGTTGCCGTAGACCTCTCCTGTTCAAGGTTTCTCTTGCTCCTGCACTTCACTCTGCTTGGAGTGGTTCGCTGTAACCAAGCTGATCCGATCGCGCAATGATGATCATTACCTGATAACAGTGACGCAAATGATGCCTTTCAGAACGCTGACCCAAAAACCGGAAGGTGTATGTTATACACGTTCGATTAACACATTTAGTACATTACAAAGATTCTCTACTCGATTGATAATCACGACATGTATTTTCTTCCTTCACTCCTGCTGCTCTCCTTCCTTCGTACCCTCCTGGCTCTGATCTTTCCCGTCCACATCCTCTACCTGTGGTTCCTCTATTCCTTGGCTCTCACCCGCAGATGTAACTCCCTTTTTCGATTCACCTTCCTCTTCACCTTCATCAGGCGTCTTCTCAACCCCCTCCTCCGTCCCTCCTCCTTGCACCGTCCCACCCTCTGAAGCAGCTCCTGCCCCTCCTCCAGCTCCTGCCTCCAGCACCGCGTCTTTGATGTCAGTCTTGTCTGCTGGAGCTGTAGCCGGTGCTGGTGCCTCCTCCCCATCAGTAGGATTCGCAGTGCTGTCGACTTCTCCCTCCTGTTCTGCCACGGCTAGTTGATCCTCCACTCTCCGCTCCTGTTGATCTGCGCCTGCTACTGTAGTCGCAGCTCCTTCTTCTCCTTGCACAGAAGCCATCTCCTCCTCCTCCTCCACTGCCTCCTGCGGTAATCGAGGAGAAGCCTCTCCCACCTCGGCTGCAGCTCCAGCTCCATCCATGCCCACAAGCTCCTCGGGCACTCCCGTCTCGTTCCCTTCAGCAACGGCTGTCTCCTGTTGCAGAGGAGACAGCATTTCAGCTGCAGCTCCTTCCTGTCTTGCGTCGGCGCTCGCCGCCTCCTCCTGCTCTGCTGCTGCCATGGCAGCGTCCACGTCCTCTACCGCCTGCTCCACCGCGTTCATCGACTCTTCCTCTGCTGTCTGAATCATCTCAGCCTCCTCCTCGTTAGCATCGTGCCTTCCTTCGTCTCCCTTGGTGCTGTCATCCGTTGCCTGCTGCTGCTGCTCCTCCTCACCCCCGATGTCCTCTTCATTTTGCTGCTGCTGCTGCTCCTGCCACTGGACGCTCTCGTCGGCATCTGCTGGGTTTGCCGCGTTCGACTCTTCTCCACCCTGAGCACCGATGTCTTGGCCAGCGACATCCTCCTCCCCAATCTGCTCCTCCTCGATCTGCTCCTGTTCAATCTGCTCCTGTTCGTCGAGCTCTTGCGACAGGTTCACTTCATCTTGGTCTTCCACAGGGTCGACCTCCTCCCTCCTCTCCTCTCCCTCCATCCTGCTGTCTCTGACTTCCACGTCTCCATCTTCTACTTCCAAGATCTCTTCCTCCTCCACTACATCCCTCTTCCCGCTCTCTCCCAGCTCACTAGACTCTCTATGCTGAGCGCTCTCCTTTTCCTGGTCTTCCTGACCCTCTCCTCCCAATCTTCCATCATCCGCTCTCCCCTCCTGCCCCTCCTCCTGGCTTTGAGCTCGTTCCTTCACTTTCGCCTTAACGCCATCTGCCCTTTCCTCCTCCTCCTTCTCCTCCTCCTCCTCCTCCTCCTCCTCCCCACTGGCTTCATCCTGTTCAAGGGCAGCGTCACTCGCGAGGAGGCCATGGCAGCTTCCATACCTCGTACTCGGCTGACTTTGCGTCTCTCTCGTCATAATCTTCGTTCAAATCTCGCTGCAAGTGCACAAGGTAAGGGAGGATAAAGACAAGGCAAGACAAGGCAAAAACACACACCACAGAGCAACACAGCAACACAGCAACACAGAGAGCAACAGAGCAACACAGAGCAATGCATCTGTTCTATCTTGTTGTCCCTTGTCTCCATCCCATCTCACCTGGGGATTAATTGCTACAGCAGAGGTTCCATGCTCAACCTCGTTGAGCCGCCGCCGCAGTTCCTCGATCTGAAGGAGGAAGAGACACTATCAGCAAACGAGAAGGAAGGAAGGGACAAGGAAGGGAAGGGACAAGGAAGAAATGATTGGAGGAAGGGATGGTATGTTTAGAACGGCAGGAGCCGGGATCTACCTGTTTGATAAGTGAATTCTCTTTTGCTCTTTCCTGCGAGCCGATCGCCCTGACAGTTTTCTTGATGTCCAAGATTTCCTCCCACTGCCTCTCGTTCGCAGTGTGCAGATCTGACATTTCAGATCAGACGGTATGGAGCCAGGAAGAGGGGAGGGGAGGGGAAGAGTAAAGGAAGGCAGGGAGAGAACAGGGAAGTTGATTGGAGTAGGAGGACTGAGGAGAAGAGAGGAGAGGAGAGGAGAGGAGAGGAGAGGAGAGGAGAGGAGAGGAGAGAGGATGGGATGGGATAGAATGAAGAGAGGGGATAGCAGGAGGAGAGAGGAGAAATTTGCGTCATCTCACCATTCGCAAGGTCGGCAATCTTCTCTCTGTTCAAAACTTCTAACGTGTGCAACCTCTTCCCCTGCTCCTCTGTCTGCGCCTGAGAAGGGGAAGAGGGTTAGTGGAGCAAGGGAGGGAAGAAGGGAAGAGAAAATGGAGAGTGAGGAGGTGGTGGAGGAGGAGGAGGAGAAGGAGGAGGAGGAGGAAGGGGAGGAAGAGGGGGAGGAAGAGCAGGGAGCTGTAGCACCTGTACATCAAGGTAGATCGCATCCATCCTAGCTGACAGCTGGTTGACGTCCTCTGACGTCCTGACCTGAGCGTGTCGGAGCCGCTGCTCCACCCCCTCCTCGAAGTTCGTCTGCTCCTGCAGCATCCTTTGTGTGACCCCCTCGTGCTCTTCCAGCCTTAGTAGGATGCTCTGCCGCGTCTGCCTCTCCTCCCGCAGGCTGGACTCCAGCTCGCTGTGTACTCGGATCAAGGAGGAGGAGACTTTCTCCCGCAGCTCTGCCATTCCCCTCGCCTGCTGCTGCTTCGTGTCCCCGAGTTGCTCCCCCTGCCGCTCTTGCACGCCCCGCAGGGCCTGCATCCCTTCCTCCATCCTCTCCGACATCATCTTCACCTGCATGCTCGTCTCCTCTTGCACCTGAGACGCCAGCGACCGGATCCTCACGCTCTCCTGCTGCATCTCCTTCCACATCCCCTGCACTGACTGCACCTTCTCCTTCATCTGCGCCGACGAGCTCTGCACGAGCTCCTTCTGCCTCTTCCTCTCCCTCTCGAACAGCATCGCAAACCCGTCCATCCTCCTCCTCATCTCCTCGCCCTCTAGCTTGCAGCCCTCCAGCCCCTCCCTCAGCATGCCCTCTAGCCGAAGCCGAGCTCCTTCTATCTCCTCCCGCAGGCTCCTCGTCCTCTCCTGCAGCATGGCCTGCATGGTCCCCAGCTCGCTCCTGAGCTCGCTCTCCATCCTCGCTACCCCGTCGCTCTCCCTCTCCAGCTCCTCCTTGATCGCCTTCATCACTCATTCAGCTCCTCTCTCAGACCTGCCGCCTCCTGCTGCCGCTCCCCCCGCTCTAGCTGAACCACCTGCTCCAGCGCAGAGAACTTCTCCACGCTCCCTAGCTCATACTTCCTCAGGCTGTCCAGAACCATCTGCGTCCTCCTCTCCAGCCCCGCACGCATATCCTCCTCCATCTTTCTCATCTTCTCCTCAGCAGCTCGGCACTGCCTCCCCGCCTCCCTCGCCAGCGTCTCGGCCGAGACGTTCGCCTCCTCCCTCTCCTCCAGCTCACGCTTCATCCTTTCTGTCTGGTTCTGCAGCTCCTGCTCGAAGAGCCTCCTGCTCCTCTGGACTTCTGCCATCACATCCCGCAACTTCACCTCCATCTCTGTCTTCAGCTGCAGCAGCGAGTTCGACGCCGTGGCCTCCCTCCTGTCCAGCGATCGCGTGTTCGCTTCTCCCGCCTGCAACCTGCTCTCCATCGCGCTCATCCTCCTCGCCATAGCCTCTGACAGCTGCTTCACTTCCTGCTGCGTTACCTGCAGCTCCTTCCTTGCCTGACCTAGCTCCTCCATCAACGCTACATTCTCCATCAGCTGAGGAGCATGCTTCACGATGATCGACGGGAGGACCTGGCGATTTCTCTGTTCGTTCCTCTGCATCGGGTTGGCGAACCTTGGCAGGTTCTCTCTCTCGAGGTTCTGCGAAGGGTTGTAGTCGACGCCATATGGAGGATTGCTCATGGTCTACAGCAAGGGAAGACAGCTTTTGAGTATAGGGATGGGGGGTTAGGAGTTTCAAGAGCGACGCGATCGCATCAGTCGTCCTGTCTTGCCGTCTTCGTCTTCCTGTACCATCAGTCACGAGTGTGAACAAGACAGAAAACTCAAAGCAGGTGAAGAGGTTTCTAAGATCGCCCCCTCTCTTTAGCCTTCCCTTCTCGTAGCTATGTTTGACACCGAGCTCACTCCGCAACCCCAGTCTTCCGAGCCTTGATCTGTGTTCGACACCTTGCCCGCATGCACATCATCTCGTCTATCTGCCTGTCTGTCTACCTGTCTACCCTCCTCTCTTCCTCTCTTTCTCCCTCCTCTCCCCGACCCTTCCGTACTGCCATGAAAATTTTTCGATTTCCGTTGGAGGTTGTATGAGGGGGATGAAGTAAGTCTGGGGCCTGTGTGGGTATGAGGGTATTCTAGCTCTGTTGTATGGGATGAGGGTTTAGAGCTGAAGATCTCTACTCCCCGTGATAGCTCATTTTTATTATTATCTCACTTATGAAATAATCTATCTATACCCCATAGGTTTCTTTGTCTGCAATCAGCAGACCACACCAAAAGGTCACCCCACCCCATCTCGCCACCCAACCCCCCACCACCATCAAGTGGTCTGACAACCCCACCCACCATGAGGAATCTGGAGCCTACGGTTGGTCTTCTCTCATGTATATCATCATATCATATAGACTCATTTAATGAAATTGATACCTTTGAGCACCTGAAATTCCCTTTCCCAATCTGGATTGCCCTACCTTGCAGTATAACCCCATGGTGTCCACATCTTACCCTACCCTGCAGAGAAACTCAATAATGTACCAGGTACCCTCCCACCCCTTCAACACCCAATAGTCAACAAGTCTTCCATTGCCATCATATCGTGTGTATGCTGAAATTTCATATTGGATTACATAAGAAATCAGGTACCTTTGGACACTTTTTCCAAGATCAAACCGAGCAGCAATGGACACCCGTACTCTATCCCCCTGGAACCCCTGGACCTCCCAGTCATCACCTACGACCAGGCCGCAATGGGGATCCGACCCAACGAGGGAGGGAGGACGAGGAGGAGCGGGAGTGGGAGAGGGGGGAGGCGCTTCAAAGAGAGGAGAGAGGAGAGAGGCACGAATGACAGGACAAGGATGCAAAAAGGTAGGAGTGAGGGAGGGAGAAGCAAAGGAGGACATGCAAACGAAAGCGAAAAAATGAGCTAGTGAAGGTGGCAGTAAGTGAACCAAGTTTGAGAAGAAGTGCGGGTAAACAGGAGGAGGTTGTCTGCTATAGATCGAGCATATCTAACGGATATTACGTGCCATAGTCTGCTATATCACGTGCCAAAGAAACTAACATAGCTCTCCACAGCCAGTTGATATCAGCCTGGCATGGGGCAGTGCTTTAGTCGATGCTTTGGTCACAATGGTGACGCGGTAAGTTCGCCGACGAGCCTCTCGACTAGAGCTGATGTGAGGCAGGACGTGGAGGAGACGCTGCTGGTTGATGATGACCTGCTCGATGTCACTCCGCAAGCATCAAGAGGTATTTTCCCACTTCCCAATGAGCACGCAAGACTAATGAGATACAGCAGGAAGGGAGCAAGAAATTCACCAGCGGGAAAGCACGCCCGCAGAGGAAGCAGCGGCGAGGAAGAAGGCAGAGGAGGAGGCGGCAGCAAGGGAGAAGGCCAAGCAGGAGGAGGCGAAGAAGAAGGCGGAGGAGGAGGCAGCGGCGAGGAAGAAGGCAGAGGAGGAGGCGGTAGCAAGGGAGAAGGCCAAACAGGAAGAGGCGAAGAAGAAGGCAGAGGAGGAGGCAGCGGCAAGGAAGAAGGCAGAGGAGGAGGCGGCAGCAAGGGAGAAGGCCAAGCAGGAGGAGGCGAAGAAGAAGGCGGAGGAGGAGGCAGCGGCAAGGAAGAAGGCAGAGGAGGAGGCGGTAGCAAGGGAGAAGGCCAAGCAGGAGGAGGCGAAGAAGAAGGCGGAGGAGGAGGCAGCGGCGAGGAAGAAGGCAGAGGAGGAGGCGGCAGCAAGGGAGAAGGCCAAGCAGGCGGAGGCGAAGAAGAAGGCGGAGGAGGAGGCAGCGGCGAGGAAGAAGGCAGAGGAGGAGGCGGCAGCAAGGGAGAAGGCCAAGCAGGAGGAGGCGAAGAAGAAGGCGGAGGAGGAGGCAGCGGCGAGGAAGAAGGCAGAGGAGGAGGAGGCAGCAAAGAAGTCAGGCGAGGCAGGGCTTCAAAGTATGGGAGCAGTGGAGTCTGCAGAGCCTGTCGAATCTGATCAGAAAGGTGGTGATGATCTTTCTGGTAGCCTTTTTCATTGACTCTGACTAGGTGAAGGTGCTGGTACTGCGGGGGAAGGAGCTTCTCAAAGCGGTCAGAGAGGACGAGGGCAGGGCGGGTCACGTGGAGGAGGCAAGAGAAGGGGAGGAAAGAAGAAGTAGAGGAGTAATCGAACCCTTGGTGGTCCTCGTGCGAGAGCTCATGCAAGGCTAGAGGAATGAAAGCACAGCAACTTCCAAAAGGCACAGCAACTTCAACTTTTGGTTTAAATCTTCAAAGTTGGAAGACCAAGTCGAATCCTTCTTGTCCCATCATTGCTCACACCTCCCTCTTCCACCCCCGCCATACCCTCACACACTTCATCCCCCTCCTTTTCCTTCACCTCCTCTTCCTCCACCATTGATGGCTAGACAGGAAGGTGGCTCCTGTGGATCGTTCAGGGAGACAACGGAAGCACGAGGGTAGGAGGAGAAGATCAGGGGGAGCAGACTTGCTCACCAGACTATTGCCATTAGAGACCCGAGCATACTCTGTACCGTCCCCTGCTCAAATCTCAGTCCTACCTCCTTTCTTCTTCCTCCGTTCCCCTGTCCCGCCCCCATCCTTACGAGCCCCCCCTTCTCCAGCCCTCCCCTCCCTCCGGCTCCTCTCCCCATCCCCGCCCCCTTTTCCCAGTCACCCTTTCCCCTTGTCCTACCGACAGTGCACATGGCAGAGCTGTTAAAATTGGGTTGGGGAAATGTCTCGTCGCAAGAACCACCGCAAACGCCTGCAGGCAAATGAGTTCCTCCTCCTCCTCCTCAACCCTAACTCCTCCTCATCCTCCTCTTCTCTACCCCCTCCATCTTCAGTACATTGCTTGTCCAAATCTCCCTTCCCCTCCCAGGCACTACCTCTTCCTGTTTCCCACCTATCCACCTCCTCCTGCCCTTCACCCTCACCCTGCCTCACAGCTACCGTAGCTCACCGAGCTCTGTATCCCCGTCTCTATCGCGCATGTCCTTGCGACGCTCTCGGAGTAGCCCAGCAGCTTTGGAACGATCCAGCCAAAGAGGAAGCCGCTAAGTCTGAGTAAGAGGAAGAGAGCGAAAAGAGAAGAAGAAAATTGTAGATGAAGAGCGACAAACAGCAGCAGAGGACGAGAAGGGAAGATAGCGGTGGGGCAAGGAGTAGGTCTGGAAGGAGAGAGCGAAAGTAGGGAAGGAAGTTGGGAAAGAGGAAATGAACGAGAAGGAAGAGAGAGGAGACGAAAGAAGGGGAAAAAACAGTAGAAGAGATGAGGAGGAGGAGGAGGAGGAGGAGGAGGAGATAGAGCGCTCACCATGAGTGGAGGAGAATGACGGAGATCAAGACTGTTGGCCCTGCAGCCTGAGGAAGAATGTCAAGACAACGGGCAAAGAGATCAAGAGACATCTAGGGCGGTAGAAGATGATGAAAATAAGAGAGAAGACGTCGGGGAAGGGGAAGGGCGATGAGGAGAGGGTGGAAGTAAACACAGATGGAGGGGAGGAGGAGGGAGGGGAGGGGAGAGAAGAAGACGAGAGTAGAAGAACAAGGGAGGAAAATGGAGAGGTCAAAGAAAGATGGAAGAGAGGAGGAGGAATGAGGGGCAGAGTGTCAAGGTAGAGAGTCAAGATGGGATAGGGGGGGTTAAGAGATGCTTACAAGAGCAGCGCTCGCTGTCTGACCGATGATGCTGCCGCAGATCAGAGAGACCATGATCACCTGGCGAGGAGGGGACATGTAAACCAGAAGAGAAAAAGGAACAATGAAGATCAAGAGAAAGACAGATAAACAAAGAGTGAGCAATGTGAAGCATCAAGTTCAAAACGACGAAAGATGCAGATGAGAGGAACAAAGGCAGAAGAGCAGCAGGCAGAGCAAGACGAATGGGAGGAGAACGGGAGAACAAGACCAAGGAAGCTGGAATGAGAAGAAGAAGTAACAAAGAAGATGAGCTGGCAATGTTGAGCCGATCGAGTCGCCGCGTGCTCAGCAACGCACCGAGATGAAGGGAGTGAAAATCTTTGCCATGGCGGCAGAGTGAGGAAACCTTGAAAAGTCTCAGAAGGAACAGCACTATCTCCTCCTCTCCTACAGGTGATGGACGGCAAGACCGCATGCGACTGGTCCAAGAACAACCTGCAAACTCAATGATACCCTCGTCTCCCCCCCTGTCCCAAACTTTCTTCTCATGCTGATCCTTCTCATATTCCTGCACTTTATCCTCGTCCTCTTCCTCGACCTCGTTCTCCTCCTCGTCCACGTGGTCTTCCTCTGTCTACTTTGTCCTCTTCATGTCCTCTCTGCCACCCTCCTCCCCTCCCTGGCCCTTCCTTGCCCCCCTTTACACTAGAGCACCTGCATGGTAGAAATAACGAGCCCGATAGGGTCAATCTTGACCAGACTGCCTGCGAGGGGTTCAGAGCAAGCAGGAGAAGTCGTAAAGCCTCTCACCCGCGTTCATGGCAACTAAGGAAGGAGTAGCGATGGCCGCCTGCTGGTTGTCAGCCAGGCAGAGGAGGAGGACAAGGAGGGAGGAGAAAGAAGGACGGAGGGAGGAGGGAGGAGGCAGGAGGGAGGAGGGAGGAGGGGGTAAGGGGGGTATTGAGGAGGGAGGAGGGGGTAAGGGGGGTATTGAGGAGGGAGGAGGGGGTAAGGGGGGTATTGAGGAGGAACCAGCAGGGTCGATGCTGTCGTCATCAGAACTGAGAGTGCAACGTCGCCCTGCCATGGAATGCCCGTGAGAACACAGCCTCCAATGCGATGCGAAAGCCTCATCCTGCCTCTTGCTGCACCTTACCCGCCCTCTCTGCTTCCCTTCACATCAGACTCTTCTCACTCCGTCTCCTCTCCTATTCGACTCCTCCTCCATCCGTCATCCCGCGCACTTCCTATCAGATCTCGTGTCTACTCCTCCTTGAGCGTCTGACTCAGGGGAGAGGAAGCAGGTTGAGGAGGAGACGGCTGGTCAAAGAGGGCCGGGAGGACGACAGCCTTGAGAGAAGCAGCACGTGCTGCTGGGAAAAACGGGCTCACCTTGGCAATGAGGGTGATGAGGTTGCTGGAGGTGCCTCCCGGGCAGGAGGAGAGGAGGATAAGACCAGCTGGCACCCAGCACGTTCAGGTGGAGGTCAGGTGGAGTCTAGAGGAGTCGAGATCACCGGCGATGTCCTTGGGGAGTTTGAGGAATTTGGAGATGAAGACTCCCAAAATTGGCATGAGTGTGTACTGTAACAGGTGTCAATTTGAGAACCTCCTGATCCCAGGCTTCCTCCTCTTTCTAATCATCATCATCATCATCATCACCATCACCATCACCATCACCATCACCATCATCATCAGAGGCGCCGTTATTTTCGGCAGAGGCGCCGTTATTTTCGGCAGCACAGAGACATTATCAGCATCGTCATTATAATCATATCAGCATTATCGTCGCAAACAAGCATCGTCGTGGTCAATCTCATCTTTGTAATCATCATTAGCATCATTGCTTTCTTCCACAATCACTATCACTTCTCTCATACTCTTGCACTTTCTTCTCTGCAGCATCATCGCTTTCATCGCAAACCAACATCAATCATCCATTATCTCATCGTCTCTCGTTCGCCCTGCACCCATTCTGCACTGCAATTGTCACCTGACAAAGACAGCCCATGGAGACTTGAGCAGGATCCTGAGAAAAGTTAGCCAGGACGGGAAGGAAGACGAGGAAGGAGGAGGAAGGAGGAGGAAGAGGTTGAGGCGGAGGGAGGAGAGGAGGGAGTGCACGAGCAGAAAACAAAGGTACGCGGGAGGACAAGCAGGAGGAGAAAACCTTGAGGATTCGAACGAAGTCGTCAATCGTCAGCGTCATGCCTTTGTCATTATTAGAGGTTTGTTCTGCGCCAGTTTCAAACTCTACCGGTGAAGACCATGGTTGCCCCCACAGCGACTGTAATTGAGTTGCCCTGCCTCAACATCACATGCAGATAACCAGACCATAGGCATCGGAGGTAGCAAGAGGGGGCAAGAAAAGGAAGGAGAAGGGCTAAATTGGGGAACAGGAGAATCAAGGGTTGAAAGAAGGATATGAAAGAGGTTGAAGACTAATGCAAAGGGCTGCTGAGCAAACGAAGGAAACAGGAAGGAAACTTTGTAAGGCGATGAAGGAGTAGGAGAAGGGTGGGGATATCACTTGTAGCCAAGTTACTGTCTCGGGCTTGAAAATAGCAGCAAGAACTGCCACTGTAGCAAATCATCAGAAAAAAGAAAGATGAAAGTGAGATGAACGATGAAAGTGAGATGAAAAATGAAACTTCCAAGGTAAAGGGAACAACATTCACAGGGGAAGGAAGAGCGGACTGAGTGGTGAGAGAAGAAAAAAAGCAGGGAAACGAAAAGAGGGCACATGGGTCATATGGAAGAAAGGGAAATGAGGGTAACGTGCTGAGAACGAGAGGGAGGAGGGAGAGAGGAAGAGACTTGAAGAGATGACAGTGAGATTGAGAGAGGAGAGCAGTGAACAGGCAGGAGGAAGAAAGAAGGGGGCAGGAGAAAGGAAGGAGGAGGGAGGAGGGAGGAGGGAGGAGGGAGGAGGGAGGAGGGAAACGTAGGGGCAAGGAAACAGTGGGCGAAACTTACCCACAACCCACAGCGGGAACAGGCTTGCAAGGACTTCAAGAATAGCCTGACACCAACCCATCATGCAAGCCTCGGAAAAGATTGAGCAGAGGGGTGGAGATGAGGAAAAAGAGTGGAGAGGCTGGAGAGAAACGATGAGGGATGCAAGTAGGAACCCATGGTCCATGAGAAGAATGGAGTAGTGGGAGGGGTTCGAGAGATTGAGGGGGGCGGGGGGAGGGAAGGCAGAAAGACACAGAAGCAGGGAGATGGATCATGCTTACCGCAAGCCTCTTCAGACGCGAGCCTTCAACAACTTGCCCCCCTTGAGTATGGCCTGGCAAAGTCGCAAATCATACGAACGCCACAAGGATGAGAAATCGACAGGGCAGGTGGGGGAAGGGGAGAGGGAGGGAAACAGGAAGAAGGGGGAGAAGCTTCTACGGAATCGCTCACCTCCTCTCATGCCCGACCGAGCCTGACGCCTCAGCAACCCCGGCAACGCTTTCATGCTCCCTCCAGGGATGAAGAGACCTCCCCTTCCCATCCTGCTACTGCTCAAGTCATTGAAGCAGCCCCGCAGCCCTTGAAGCAAGCGGAACCTCTGAGTCAAGCTGGGGGACGGGAGGCAGCAAGTCTCTTGCATCGTCACTGCGCAGTATCTGTCACGGGAGGGCACAGAGCCCCTGCTCACGGACTCACAGGATAGGATAGCTAATGCCGCCAGCCGCCTTCCGCTACATCCCATCCCTTCACTGCGATTCCGTCCTGCCATCGCCGTCTCCTTCAAGGTTCTCTTCCTCTAGCGGGTACGGAGAGACTCAAACGTAGCGGCAAGCGCAAGGAGCCATCATGCTCGTCGACGTTGTCACGTCGTTACTCCTTGCTGACAGCCTCCCTCTACCCATTTTCTCTGCGCACCAGACCGCTCGCTTGCTCTGTCGGGAGTCGCTTACACGGTCACGACTGCTGTGCGGATCTATCCATCCTCCTTCCACCCTCTCGTGGGGACGACTGTCCTTCTTCCTCTTGCACTTCTTCGGTCCCAGCCTGCCCCAACATAGCTGTCAGAGTCCGGTCGCAACATGAACAAGCTGCATAGCTTTCACAGACGATCTTGTGCTGGCTAACAACATGGAGGAGGTCACATGCGCTAGCGCTAGTGCACCCTGCCACGTTCCTTCCATACGGCATGAGCACGATCAACGTGGCTCCTTTCACCATTATACGTGGCAATCGGATCAAACAGATCCGACCCCCCACATCTACATCCTCACTAACGTATCAGCCATCTTGGAGGGTCGACCCCTCCTTTTACTATCCTATCACACTATCACACCAAGCTTCTTCTTGCCGCCTCCTCTCCTGCCTATCTTCAACTCCTCCCCACAAGTTCGCCAAGATCCCGGACTACTCCGCCCCCACACATCATCCACCCGCGCATGTGCATTCAAACCTTTCCGCTTTCTACCTATCATCACTCCCTCTGACCAACTCACGCGTAAGGCCCTCTCCTCAGCCCCCTTCCCTCTCTCGCTCTCCTCTCTCCTCGCGCCATCATTGCGCTTCCCTTCCCCCTTCCATTTCCTCGGCTTCCTACTTTGGTGGCCACTGCCCAGTAAATTGAAGGCCACAGCCACATCCCCTAACTGACCGAGGGCCGTTGGCCTCTGCGGTTCACTTAGACAGACTGGGACTCTCGCTGAGAACAACTCGGATCAGAGTCATGTCATTCGCACATGTTGTTCAAGGAAGAGCTGGGAGGGAGCTGGGAGAAACGGCGAGTTGAGGGCAGGTGGAGGGTGAAACGGAGGCGGACTAGGGAGCCTGAGGATGGCAGACTGAATCTTGTATAAAACTGACTAAAGCGAAGAAGAATCTTCAAGTAGCGGAAGCCTTGTTGAGGAGCTAAAAGTGCAAGTGATCTTGATCATGGTATAGGAGAAGGGCAAGAGCAGCGTTAGACAGAGTGAGGAACTCTTTTTCACCTGAACGACCTCTACAATCTCTAAAGCCCCAAGGCTGACTTGCTGCTGGAGTTTGAATCAGGAGACTGAGGGGCAGCTCATGGAGCTTCGCAGGTGTGCCGAGGTCAGTTGAGAAGAAGGGGAGGGGGGGGGGAGAGGGAGAGGGAGGAAAGGGGGGGAAGGGGAGGGAAAGGTGGCCATGAGAGGAGGAGGGGAGTTTTTATCTGTGAGAGGTGCGAGTGGAAGTTTGACTTGTCTGGCAGCGCGAATCGCGTCAACGTCGTGCGTCAGAACCTGCGTGGGTCTCGTCGATGGATACGAACGCTTGTAAGTAGAAGCGAGTGAGGGGTGAAAGTGGCAGGGCCCTTGGACAGGAATGAACCTCCGCTCTAGCGTCTGTGGAAGGAGCCGGAGCACACTCTTTCTTGTGCTGCTCGCTGCTTGCAAGGTAACAAACACTGATGCCCTCAGGGTCTGACAAGAGAGCAGGAGAGCGATTGCTCGTAGCTGCTGCTAGGCCTGGGGGACGTAGACTGCCAGCAGAGGCATGTCGATGATCTGAGAGGGAGTGAGCGAGTTGAGGACAAGAGGAGGGCGAACCTTGATGTCGGAGTTGAGATCCATCTTGACGATTCCATCTACAGCACGATGGTGAGCCGAGGAGGATCAACCGGAGAGCGGGAAGGCAAGAGAAAGGGGGGGGTTGGTGGTGGGAGAGGAGGATGCGTTTCCAACCTCTTCCGTCGATACCGATGAGCTTTCCTGTATTTCCCTTGAGCTCTTCCTGCTATCCTTGAGACGAGAGCATCCGAGACAAGAAACCTCACCTGTAGGATGATGACAGAAGCGTTCTTCTGCGGCACAACCTGCACAACCACATGAGCTGACACATCGCGCTCTCTTCCCGTCTCCCCCTACGCTCCGCTTCTCTTCTCTCAGTCCCTCCCATCCTCTCTTCTCTCCCATCCTCCTCTCGGGCTTCACCGCCTCGAGCTCCTCTGCGGGCACCACCTGACAGGAAACCAGTCAGCTTCACACTTGGCACGCAGCAGCTGAATACCGTCAACTGTCCTCCTTGCATCTCGACTTTGCAGTCGGGGCCCTGCATCTCTTTTCAATCCCTCCCCCTCCTCCTTTATCTCCTCCTCCTCCTTTGTCTCCTCTTCATTTTTCTCCTCTTCCTTTCTCTCATCGTTTCTCTCCTCCTCCTTTTCTTCCTACACTCTTCTTCTTCCCCTCCCTCTTTGCCCTCCCTTCCCCTTCGCATCGCATCCTCGTCCTCGTCCTTCCCCGACCTTGATTTCGACGACGACGCCCGTGCAATCAAGCAACAGCCCGGACATGATCCGGACTTTCATGCGCTTTAGGCACCAGTTTGACACCTGCTTCCACTTCAGGCGAACTCGCCGGACGAGGAGCATCTAAACGAGGTGAAGGCAGCAAGGAGAAGCGTGGGAGACAAGAGCTGAGCTACTCTACATAATCCTCCTTCTTTCCTCCTCCCCCCTCCATCCGTCCCCCTCCCATTTCGTATCGGTAGGACTGCAGGGATAGAGATGAAAAGGGTAAGCAGGCAGAAAGAGACCGGGGAAGAGGAGAGTAAAACGAACTATGGTGAGCTATGTGGGCGAAAACATGCATGATCATGATTATGTTCCTCGAGAGGTGCGGAAGCCCCAGCAGGAGCAGGAGAGGGAGCAGGAGGAGGTTATGAGGGGGGAGGTATGATGAGGGGGTTGAGGACGAGGACGAGGAGACGAGGACAAGGGGAGGACGAGGAAGCCTGGAGGAGGACGAGGAGGACGAGGACGAGGGGAGGACGAGGAGACGAGGACGAGGAGGATGAGAACGAGATGGACGAGAAAGACGAGGACGAGGTGGACGTGTAGGACGTGTAGGACGTGGAGGACGTGTAGGACAAGGAAAAGCAGCAGTAGCAGCAGCAGCAATAGTGGCAGTAGAAGTAGCAAGAGAAAGGGTCACCGAGTAGCCTACGAGGCTCGAGGGAGTGAAGGAGCTTGGGGTGGATCCTAACAATGAAATTTCAGGACCTCCAGGTCTTGTTCCCTTCCCCCCCTGTCGTGTAGCCTCTCGTTACCCAGAGAAATTAGAAAAAGCCGCAGGTTATGGTTCGAACCTTTGAGTTGGAGCTCTGAGATTGAGAGGGCAGCTTTGCTTCAGGTTGATAGGTACTGCCGCCATCGGTCTTGGCCTTCTTGTTGACTAGGAGCAACAAAGTCAGCTTCACCATCCACGTCGCAATTCTTCTCTCGACCTGATTCTTGTATAATTTCTCCTTGCAGTATGTTCTTGGCCTGTGATGGATTAGGAGGCTCTCCTACATCCGCACACGGAGTCAGCTCGTACTGCCATCACAGTAAGTGCATCAAAACCTAATCTCGGAGGATTCCAGCTCTGTTCGCCAGTGTTTGAGTTGAGCCTGAGAAGCAACATCAGTCAAGCTCGCGAGTTCCCGTCTCTACCAATAATACTCCTTCCAAGTTTTTGACCATTGCTTGGACCAGCCTGAAAGCAGAACCTCCTCTCCTGATATGCTCTGACCCTTGAGATGGTTGTCAGCATCCGTTCTCCTTTTGGTTCCCACCAAGGCGGCATCTTTCTCAACATCCATGCTCTTCATCTCTTTGCTGTTGCTTGTCTTCTGAACGTCTTGGAGTTGCTGTTTGATTCCTTCCTCTTTCAAGGCTTCCTCTTCGTCCTTAGGGTTCAGCACAAAGTCTGGCAGATCTTTTCGTTTGATCGATTGAACTTGAAGTTCCATTTCACTCGTTCTGTGATGCCAGTTTAAGAGTCTCGCCTTGAACTCTCTGACGGGCCCGGAGATGTTCGGTGCCTTCATTCCATCGGCTTTCAGCTTGTCATGGTCAAACTTCAGACCGACGTACCACAAGTGCTCGTACTGATCCTGCTCGCCTTTTCTTGGCTTTGCATAGCTCCTCTGTATCGGATGCGCTCGATCTAGATACGCATCTGGACATCTTTCCAAATACGAGATCATATTATGAATGTTGGCTGCGCAGAATCCCTTCCACATGTTGTGATCAGCTTTGCTCCGTGCAGACGCCTGGATCTGAAGAAAGTTTGCGTACGTTGAGAACAGGTCTACGGGCTCGAAGAGGTCGCACCAGCCAGCCTTGCCTTCATGGATCTGCTTGCACACCCCCATGGCCCTGATGAACATCTCTTTCATGATCTTCAAGGTTGACCTCGACACGAGAGCTGCGGTGTTCTGAGCAGGATAGCAAGGAGAAATGATCGGCATCAGATGCCTCCTATCTGACATTTCGGTTGCACCATATCCCCACACAGGCAGATTCAGATCATGCGAGTTTGCGACGATCTCAGCCAATTCCACCGGCTGTGGCCATTTCCATTGACAGTAAGTGAAGAAGAAGAAGTACAGGAGCCTGGAGGGAAGAGCCTTGGGGTACAGCTGACATATCCGTGCTGCCATGATCTCTAGAGAGATACTTCCAAGAAATCCAAGACCGTTATTATAGACTCCACGCTTCTTCGCCCAGAATTTCAGGGCTTGAATGCAGTATTTGAAGGATATCAGGTTTGGCACAAGACTTCTGATCGTATCTGTCACTCGCACGCTGTTGAGCGAAGCAACACTCTCCGGATCGACGTTCTTGAGATGCTTGTCGTCGGTCACATCAAAGTCCTCGGGCAGGGTCGCATAATTGAGTCTCGCCATGGACAACTTAAACTCAAAATCATCCATTCGAAACTTGATAACAGGAGCACGAGCTTCTTGGACCTTGATCAAGTCCTTGATGTCCTCTCGTGCCTGCATCGCGACGTAGAGGTCGTCGAACATGTCTGAGCGGTCGATGTATCTGGTCACTATCATTACCGCATCCTTATTCTCTACAGTTCGCAGTAGGATGGGAGGGTTTTCCTCGGAGTATTGCTCCATCAGATGCTTCTTCTCGTACACTCGGTTCACAAACTCGCGACACATGTCATTGATCTTTGCTAGCGTCCTGATCCTTGGATCCAACTTGCTGTCCGAAAGAAGGTTCCTGGCTTCCATGTAGTTCAGCAAGGTCTTTTCGATTCGCTGGTCTTGCTCGGAGGGTTCCGCCATTGACAGCGGCACCCTAGCCACATGGATTAGGCAAATATGACACCCCTTCACCTCAGGCTGTGCCATCCTAGACGTCAAGCGTGGTGCTGAAATGAGGACAGTGTTAGGGGACAACACAGGAGGACATCTGGTATTACCTCTTTCTACGTAAAATCCGCTGTGAGTTCTCGGAGCGCATAGCTGTGCATTATCGGTCATGGTCACTCGTGATAAGCTGTCTCGGCATCAAACCTCCTCGAAGCTCCCGGACCCTTGAAGGATCTCCAATGCCCTTGCAAACTCCTCACGGATATCGCTGACGGTGGTGCCAATGACGTATCTCCCCAAGTCAAGGTCGACGTCGAAGGGATCTTCTATGCAAAGGATATGCCTGCGCTCCTAGTGAGCAAGCTCAAGTGTTTTGGATGAAGCGGCTCTACTGATTTCTAAAGCCCTCAGGAGAATCCCATCCCTTGGCCTTCTTTTTTAGAAGTCTTCCACTCCGAATGCTCACAACTCCTTGATCAACCTCAAAGACTGCAAACAAGCCTTAGCCCGCGTTGCTGCAAACATCACAGTTGGTTTACCATTGGAGTAGAAGTGAAAGAAGCCAACGAGAAGGAGCCCCAGCGATGAAGAGTTGTTCCTCTCACCGATGCCTGCAAACCTTCAATCCATCAAACGAGTTTTGTGCTGTTACCAGCCAAAGTCTCAAAGTTTCTGTAGAAGTAGCAGTCGTATGCCTCTCCGTTCCAGAGAACAGAAAACGATGGATCATTCTTCCACTTTGCCTCCTCGCGACGGATATTTTGCAAGCACGGCAGCACTCGTTCATACTGCAGGTACTGTATCACCATCAACGCATACGTGTACGAACTCAGATAGCGTTTGAAGGCATTGTGAATTTGACGTTGTTTTACCCAGTGCTTGACGCACATAATCAGAGGCCTCGTCCTTGCGTCCAGCATCGTGTATGTGTAGAGCAAGTCGGTGTTGACACAGGCAAGAACATTGTTGACACTAAGATCGCAGTGAAAGGCAGAACCACGACCGTCATCGGCCTCAAACTTGATGATAGGAACACGGGCATCGGACAGAGTTTCAACACTCATCATTCCATGTCCTCGCAGCAGCCTGGCAAGATCGTCGAGAAGCTCCTTCTTCCATTGTGCCTTCACCCTGCAACTGTCCGCTTCTTGTAGGTTGTTCTTTTGAGTCTCGTGTTCAGGAATTACAAGACACATCTATATCTGAGTGGACAGAGCCAAGGTTGCTCGCAGATGAACCAAACATCTGTACTCTGGAGCCGGGATAATTCTCAGCAATGATCTTGTTCACATTGGTGCAGACGCTCCTCCTGTGATCGATTTCCTCACTAGGAGGAGAAATCTTTGTTACAAAACTCATGCAAGCACTGGAAAGGAGATCTATGTCTTGGAGTTTCATCTTAGGAGTCACGATGCTCGTACATAAGGTTGGTGGTCGGGAGTCGAGATTGGTCGTGAGGTGCTCATCGCTCTCTTCAGCACAAGCACCATTGTAGTACGCTCCCTCGATCTCGGCACTGCTGATCTCGGGATCGATGGTGAGAGATAGCAGCATGTTCGGGGTTAGAATCGGCATGGGCTGACTTTGTCCCATGGCATCGAAGCTTTGTGCGGCACAAGGAGTGGGATGCAGATTATCGCCGCCCATGGGATCCGGTACAAGTGGACTGTGATTGAAGCTGTTGTCATTCCTCATGGCATGAAGAGCATCGTCTCGATCCGTCAGATCTATCTCGTTCATGCCCTGCTCATCTCAGCCATGAGAGTCTATCCTGAAAATATCTGCCATGATCGAGATGCCAGGATCTAAAGATGGTGTGATGCAGTTGACCCCTTTACTTCCCACTTTTTCTATGTTTCTACTTAATATCAGACGCATATGCCTCTACCCTCTTTTTCCCACCCCTACCACCCTCTAAGTGGGGTCACACCGGATGGTTGAGGAAATCAGGAGAGCCTGAGCTGGGAACTTCAAGTGAACAGAAGTTCGTATGGGGTTGGCCCGCTCGGCCGCGCCAAGGCACTCACGGTTGCCACGGTACTACACAGTCTGCTGTCCTCGGAGGGCCAAACTTAACTCGGATACCTTCTCTTACTTTGATCGGACTGCGCGGCGGCACAGCGGCAGGGCAATTCCCCCGCGCCTCTATGGGCCCGGCCCGGCAGTCGGACCGTGGCATCCGGCGGCACTGCAGGCCGCGCTAACTTTCGCCGCGTTGGGCCAGCCGGGCCCGGGGCCACCGGCTGGGCCGCACCGTCCGACCATGCCGATCCGATCCGCGGGCCCGTCCGAGATGATCACTGGCCTCAAGGGGCCTGGCTGAGTCAGGGCCGGGCCCCGGGCCGGGCCCGGTACAGCCCCTCTTGTCACGGTTTTTGAAATCTGTTTCAAATTGTTTCCAAATTCTTGAAATAATCAAAGAAGTTTCAAATACTTAACTCAAATTTCGGCGAGACTTCTTCGAGATTTGCATAGCGGCGCTGAAAACACGGAATCTTGCAATAATAAAGAGGCCGCATGGTCAACGGATAACCCACCCTAGAATTTACGAATCATTTCAAGAATCTTTCAGGGGTGCACTTCCCTTAGATGATAAAATGAAGTACCCTGCTTTCTGTTTCGATTTCGGACCTTTGTGGAGGGGTGATCACATGCCTCTGGAGCCTAAAAGGGGTGGGTATTTTTATCACCCTACTAGGCACTGAAATTGAGGAATGGAGGGGTGAGTGCAATGTGAATTGGATCGAATGGGGGTAGGGGTACGGTCAACCGGAATCCTGCGAGAATGGAGGTCGCACAGCATGCATGACGTGGTGGAGGTGGAAGGGAGAAGGGAGAGGAGAGAGAGGAGGGGGCGAAGGAGGAAGACCATGCCGAACGAAGACCATGAGGACAAGGAAGAGAGTGGTATGGGATAGCTGTAACTGAACAAGGAAAGAGCTCTTGAGTGAGTGAGGGCGACGGGCGGGTGATGGAGGGTTGCGAAGGGAAGAATGAGTGCAGGCCCGAAAGGCATCATACGGATGCCATTTGACATCTTGAAATGAAATTTACGGCTGGCCTGATTCGATCATTCATGCACATGTAGGGTTGTGCTTTGCTGGAAGCACGGCGGCAAGCGTGTTACTTGCCCTCGATCCGAAATGTTTGTCTCAAGGAAGGTGGGAAGGAAGCTATAAAACGCAAGGGAATCTTAGTGTGCTTAAGTTCGTGTCTTCATGGACGAATTGATAGATACCATTCGTGCTCTGTGTACCTCTTTCATCCTCATGGATCCCTGCAATGCCATTTATCGAGTTGAACTAAACATTAGTTTAGGCACAGCCTGTTGAACAGGGAAGAACCTGGTTTTGACGCTCCGGTACGCAGATGCGAAAGATCGTTCTGCTCGCAGCTGGCGCAGCTGCTCTCGTGGGTGATGCAGGAGCGTTCTCTTTCTCTTCAGGTAAAGATCACGGGTCCTCATCAGTCCATCATCTGGCTCTTGCGCTCTTCCCCGCTGATCCTTTTGTAATGCTTCACCCAGTTCAAGCACGTAATCAGTAGATGTGCTCGATTCTCGTTTGTTTCACTTTGATGCTCTTGTCCCTTGTTTATTGCTGTCAACATCCTTTACACCGCAAGCTGTCTGCATGGCGCGCGGGGGGGATGGGGGATGGGGAAGGGGGGCCGTCATGACTGGGTGACAGGCTCGGCCGGGATGTCGCTTAGACCACGAACAAGTACCACAGCATGCGTTCGCTGCTTTCCTGCTCACGTGTCCATCCAGGCACCTGCTCCCTGAGAATGTCAGCTGAAAGCGTCGATGATGTGCTTGCCCGCGTTTCCTCCATGGAGGCGAAGGTGACCGACCCGCTGCAGCAATGTGCCATCAGTGTTTAGATGTGGCTGTTCAGGTCGAGAGTGTGCTCTCCAAGTCTGGTGCAAAAACTGCTAGCCCTCCTGCTCCGGCTCCCGCCAAGGTGACCTGAGCGTGCCATGTGAGATTTTGGATAACCGGTAGCCTACTGAGCAGGAAGAGCCCAAGAAGGAGGAGCCGAAGAAGGTCGAGGCAAAGAAGGAGGAGCCGAAGAAGGTCGAGGCAAAGAAGGAAGAGCCGAAGAAGGAGGAGCCGAAGAAGGAGGAGCCGAAGAAGGAGGAGCCGAAGGTCGAAGCAAAGAAGGAAGAGCCGAAGAAGGAGGAGCCGAAGAAGGTCGAGGCAAAGAAGGAGGAGCCGAAGAAGGAGGAGCCGAAGAAGGAGGAGGCCAAGAAGGAGAAGGCTAGCGTGGAGGTGAAAGCGGAGAGCAAGCAAGATGCCGAAGCTTTGGCTGCGAAGGCGAAGGTAGAGGACGAAAAGACTAACGACACCTCGCTTAACCTTTTGTCGGCAGGAGGACTCCGCAAAGGAGCTGCAGAAGACGATCCAGAAGATGGAGGAGGACAGGAAGATGGCTGAGGAGAAGGCGAAGGTCAGTGCCAAGTTGTATCATGCGAGTGCACTCACTTTCACCTCGCAGGCTTCAATGCCCGCGGCCTTGAAGGAGCAGGTAGACTCCAGGAATCGCCATGTTGCTGCTGTGCTTACACACCCGGCAGGCTGCTCTCAACGACATCTCGAGCTCTGCTTACGACAAGCTGAAGAAGATCTCTTCAGCAGGTGAACGAACAGAACCAGCGCCCTCCACTCTGATCTGCTTCCTTGACCAGCCCTCGATCGCCTCGGGTCAGGCCGGCCTGCTGCGTCCCTGGGAGGAAGTGATTTGGGGAAGTACAGGCAAGTTGTTGTCTGCAACGTGTGTATTTGATGTCATTAATGGCTGGACAGGGAGGAGCGTCTCAACGCCTTGCGTCAATCTTTGTCGCAGATGGGTCTCAAGTGATTTCTACTTGTCACGCTCACGATCGCAGCTTGTCGGCGATTGACAATGGCTTCAGTTTTGACTTGTGATGGCAATAAATCAATACCAACACTGAATGAGATCAGCTCCCAATGAGTAGAAGCTGGGAGGAAGGCACCACGGGTTAGTTGAAGGTCCACGGACAGGAAGAGCAATTATGCTCTACCGAACAAATCACACAACAGTGGACCGAAAAGGTTGTTTTTTTAAACTTGGTCTTGTACCATGAACGATGAATAATTTCAGATCAGAGGTTTATTTTCTCAGTACATATCTTACATACATATCTACAAGTCCCAATGCGCGAATCAGACATACCACCCCGTTGTCATCTTCCCTCCTCCGGCCTCCCTACGCATGGAAGCTCCGCCTCCCGCCCCCCCCCTTCTACCGCCCGGATTGCATCCTCCACAAGCTCGATCGACCGCCACAGCGCCATAAGCTGCTTCCTCCTATGCTGGCGCAACTCGGCCCACTTCTTGTCGCTCAGTCCGAAGGGAGGCTGTCCAGCAGCATCATGAGCGTCTTGGTAGGAGGAGGCATCCTGGTGTGCACTTGGCACGCCATCGAAGTCGCAGGGAGCGGGATCGTGGACAGCCGGCATGGTAGAGCGCGAGTTGGAGAGGAGGATCGAGGAGGAGTATTTATGAGGACGAGGCGGTGCGAATGAGTGTTAACTCTGTCACGCGCCTGTAGGATGTCAGCAACTGCCCCACCGATGCAGTCTGGGATTCATCTGCTGACAAGTTACCTGATATCGGATTCAAGTCACGATTTCGACATGGCTCACATGGGTTGACTTTTTGGGGGAATGAAATCATCGAGCCTGCCTCATTAGACCACTCGGAGGCATCACACAGTTATTAAATAGGCCAGTTGACTCATCAATGTCTCTGCCCGCGTTCTGGAGGAACATCGGTGTTAGTGACGCCGACGGTCACGATTGTTGACAGTAGTAAAACTTCAGCGGGCCATGATAACATCATGACTGATGACATCTATCCTCAGGAACGCATCGGTACAGCGTTATGTCTCAGATCCAAACCGTCATCATCTGACATCTCGAAGAAGTCGAGCCCCCCGAAGGCTACGTAAAGGTTGCCCAGCTTCCTGCCCTCAATCACCCATGCCGGCTGTCCACGTTCCCGCTCCCTGCGACTTCGATGGCGTGCCAAGTGCACACCAGGATGCCTCCTCCTACCAAGACGCTCCTGATGCTGCTGGACAGCCTCCCTTCGGACTGAGCGACAAGAAGTGGGCCGAGATGCACCAGCATAGGAGGAAGCAGCTTATGGCGCTGTGGCGGTCGATCGAGCTTGTGGAGGATGCGATACGGGCGGTAGAAGGGGAGGGGCGGGAGGCGGAGCTTCCATGCGTAGGGAGGCCGGAGGAGCGAAGATGACGATGAACAACGAATTTTCAAGCGTTCTGGGATGTACATATGTAGACTGGGGACATTGTTTAAGATGTGATTTTTCAAGAATATTAAAAGTCTTCTTCATGTGAACTTCTGCTTTCGTGACACAGTTATGGGGGCGGTGATCTTCTGTTCAGGATGCACTTGACAGCACGATCTTTGATCGAACACGGTCTCGAGCAAGGAGATGTTGAGGTCGAATCGAGCATGTCATGTCTTCCCCGTCCATGATGTGTGGAAGGCATTGGTAGAAAAGACTCTACCGCTATCGAGTCAACATCGCTCCTCCTCCTGGTCGATAATCACTGGTCCGAAAGACACCAGTCTCAACTCCGACGGCCGGTCAATCGCCGCCATGGACCTGTGTTGAGAGCGATCTTTGGGACAGTCAAGGAGGGGTCGAGCTGATGGGGCAATCGCCCGTGGATCTGTCGGGAAAGTTTGCGGGCCAGCTGCACACATGGCGGGAAGGAAAACCTCCCGACAGGACAGCGATGGCACTGCGAGCAAGTAGTCGTTCACGTCACTCCTTGCATGGAGTAGAGACTGAGGGACCGAAGATGGAGTCTGCCTCAGGCAATCTTTTTGAAATGTTTTGAAGGCAGTAAAAATCATCCTTTTGACAAAGTTGAGGCAGGAAAAGATCTCCAGTGAGGCAGCCCCGCCTTGAGAATGGATGAGGCCGATGCGCCTCATGGCAGGGTGGTGGTTGTGCCTCTTGGCCATGAGCGCGCAGAGGCGATGGGGATCAGCGAGCGATGCTGCTGCTGGAGATGAAGGGCCCTGCCCCATCTTCTCCTCTCATCGCTCGTCACCATGCCATCTTGTCCTGCTGGCATGCCGGCGGACCATGGCTCTGCGAGGCGGGGAAGGTTCAGAGGAGCCTGGCGAAGGATGGGTCAGGATTGGGCAGGAGGATAGCGAAGAATCAAACGCAGGCAGCCTTGATGTGCATGCGGAACAGGGGGAACACGACTCTGTGAACTCCCGCGTCGATGCCTCCGAGGAGCTCGAGGTCGACGACGACGACGATGATGTGGAGGGGATGGGAGCATCGAACTCTCTGCCAGCCCGTGAGGCAGCATCTCCTCTTCCAGTTGTAGGCTGACATCGGAGCAGATGGTGGAGACGATGAGAATGTTGGCGAAGAAGGTGCAAGCTCCTCACGATCTTCTCCTCCCCCCACAGGCGAGACTGCCCCTTTGTTCTGCGCAGAGCTGACATGTCCATAGAAGGGGCTCCCGCTGAGGATCAGCAGCCATGGAGGTCAGAGGCTGTGCTCAACTCCTCGAACGTCACCTTGCTGAACGAGAACTTCCTGCTCGCGTCACAACATGGTGACGGACTGAGTGCAATCGACTTGCTGCAGGCAAGCTTTGATCACTGACTGAAGGGATGTGTGCCTAGCTCCCCCGCTGACCAGCCCTGCAGGCCGGAGCAGACCTTTATGCTCGAGAGACTGGCGACTTTGGTCTCGAAAACTGGACGGCACTTCACTTCGCAGCGTCGCGAGGAAAGACAGCGACATGTGCAGTGAGTGATGAATCATTCGCACGGATGAAGAGATGTGACAAGATACAACAGAGGCTGGTAGAGTATGGGCTTGACGCCAACGTCGGAGATGCATTCAATGCTACACCTCTACATTATGCTGCCTGCCGGTCAGCTATCTTGAACTGATCAGCTCTCCGCTAAGTCATCACTGTTTTTCAGGGGGAGAACGTCCACATGTAACACTCTTGTCAGCTTAGGGTCGAACCTAGAGGCTGTCACAGGTGCCAACAACCTGCAGTGAGCACCACTGATCTACATGCCATGCCCTAGAACCTGCTAGATATACACCGCTGCATTATGCTGCCATGTCCAAGAACAAAGGAACTTGTGTCAGGCTTCTGTGTTTGGGTATGCAGAAACCTTGCAAGAGAGATGTTGCTGATTGGTGTAACTAGGTGCCGATATCTTTGCAAAGAACTTCTGGGGGCAAACGCCAAGAGACGTAAACCTTACCTGACATCGTTCCTGGGGCGGACTACCAATGTTTTAAACATGCAGGTGGCGCTAGAGACAAAGGATGAAGACACGGCTCGAACGTTATCCAGGCTAGAAACGAAAATTGTACTCCCCTGATCCAGCTCTATGTCACGCTTTGACCGGCGTCATCAGGAGCTCGGGCAGTTCCGTGCTGACGACGGTCGGAAGGAGAGGGAGGAGGCTTGGAGGCAGCAGAGAGTAGCCGTGGAGTCGAAGAACAAGAGGCAACACTGCGACAACGACCGCGTGCTTGTGATTCGAAACCTGCCCTCAAACACCAAGGTGAGGCCCTTTCCCTTGCCAACTTCAGCTCCGACACTGACGGGTTTTCTGTTTGCAGGAGGACGATCTGAGGGAGCACTTTCACAAGCTGGGCCTCCAGGACCCGAAGCGCATCAACTTGTGCCTGAAACGGCTCAGCGTTGGTCCCATGTCTTCTCCTAAGAAGTGCTCCGCGATCGTCGAATGCTTCTCAGCGATGGAAGCAGATCAGGCAGTGAAAGGGCTCAACTGTACCATGGTTGTCGCCGTCCCTTGCTTTCTGATCCTGCTGACGCCCTTGCTGTGTAGTTCTCTTCTAGCTTGCATGCGACTTTATTCAGAATCTTTGCATCACACTACAGACCTTTGCAGCCGGAGGAAATTCAGGAAATGGAGGACAAGAGACGGCAAGCAGAAGCAAGTCGCCTTTTCGTGGGTAACCTCCTTGATCGTGCACTTTCATTGCAAACCTGACACGTGCTCAGCTGGTCTCAATCTGACAACTAGCGCGCAAGATCTCCGATCCCTCTTTTCAGTAGATGATTCATCTGTCAAAGCTCCCCTGAACAGCTTGTAGGCATATGGGCAGGTCAAAGAAGTCGCCTTGCTGCAGAAGCCTGGAATTAGCAAGAGCTTCCCCTCCACGAGACATGTCGATGACTCTTTCCAGGTGTGGGTGAAGTCAGAACTGCTATCGTGAAGATGGCAAACAAAGCCGATGCGTTCAAGGCCATAAGGGAATGCTGCAAGGTACCATGCTCCCTTCGATATCCTCCCCTCTTGCTCGCTCACCCCCATCCTCCTCCCCACTCCTCCCCACTCCTCCCATCAAGGCCACCTGCCGCCTTTACTCTGCCATATCATGTTCTTATCTCCGTCTCTGTGTCCCCCCCCCCCTTCCCCCCCCCCTTCCTTCATTGCTCTGCAGATTCAGCTTCCGGGTGCGCCGCACAAGCTGAAGGTCAGGTTTGCGATCAAGCAGAGTTTGCGCCAGGGGCCAAGAAGATGAAAAGACATCTTTTGACGATCAATGTTCTTTTTTGTAAAAGATTGTAAATTTGGAGAGCCACAATATTGTAGCTTTTCAAGAGTTCGCGGTCATGTCCCAGTGATTTATAATATTTAGTTGTACTGAGTAAAATAGTTTTTTAAACCGGCAAAGGCATCAGAGCCAGAGGATGGAGGGAGCGAGAGGAGGAGGGAAGGAGGGCAAGAAAGGAGGGAAGGATGGAAGAAGGGGACGAGAAGAGCGGATAAGAATGCAAGAGATGTCATATCATGATCAGGAGTTTGATGAGGGAGCAATGCCTGCAACGATAAGAACAACTGACAGGTTGCGAGAAATAAGAGCAGCAACGATACGCGATCAACTACAAGCGTAAATCGGGCGCAAACAGATGAATTCCTTCACCATAATGCAGTAAACTGATAGTATAGTGGTCTACCTAGTGGACAAGAGCTGGAGAGGAAAGTAGAGGAGCGGTAGCTGAAGGATTGGAGGTAGTTATGTTTTGCGACCGCTCATAGAAGCACGGAAAAACGCAGCTTCTACAGAGGGGTGAAAGTAAAACTGGCTTGCTTTTCAGTGAATCGAGCATGCTTCCCCACCAGAGTGGGCAGAATCTCCCTCTTGGAGGTAAATTGCTGTCTTGTCTTGTCCGTCTTCCCTTGTCCTCTCTGCTCCGCACGCTAGCTGCATAATCGTGCATGCGCTACCTGAGTAAAGGAGTAGCTGCTTCTCTTCAAACCTTTCACTTGGCTCTCAGCTGCTGCTGCTGCTGCTGCGTCTGCTGCGTCTGCTGCGTCTGCTGCGTCTGCTGCTGCTGCTCTGTGCTCAATGCCATTTCCTTATCCTCTTTCGTTGACGTCGATAGCAGTTCCTGCCCAGGATCTTTCAAACGCAGTCCCAGGAATCTACTACAGTGCAGTTGACCCATCGCAGGTAAAGAAGACCAAGATATGTCAGGTTACCTGCTGCTGACAACCTTCTTGCAGACAGTTGTGCATCCATATATGCTAGTCCCACCTGGCACCTATGAGGTTGTCACAGGATCTGAAAGAGTGATCTTTGTTCAATTGCGCTGAGTGTGTTTTGTGTTTGATTCCCATGCACGCTGGATGTATGTTCTATCCTATCTTGGTTTTTCTGCTGGTGGTATTGTCTTGTCCGCCACCATCATCTTTCAGATGGCTGTCTAGGAGTTATTATGTATATCTATGCGTCTTTCCCTCGTGTTGTATTTATTGCATGTCGTTCGCTCGAAATGCTTACACTCACTTCAAGGCGACCAACCAGTATGCAAGCACCATCGCCTCTACGATCTCTGGAGATTCTCATACGGAGACTCACGCCGACAGTGAGGATTTTTGTGCAGCAAAGTTTGAGTGTTTACCTCCGCTTGTTCTCAGACAACATGGAAGCGGATACTGGAGTTAGAGACAGCCCGGGGCTTCAAGGATTGGTACGAGATTATTATAGGAATCTGGTAAAGCTGATGGTTGCGAGTTTTCGGTTCGTGCTGACATGTTTGTCAGATCCCTTTCCATGAGATTCAGAACTACCGACAGGAGCTTTCAGGCATGGATGACGGCGAAATGAAATGTTTTCGATGCTCCTCACACCGTTTCCTTCTTTCGCCAGGGATGTTGGGTGATCTCGGGCTATACATTCCCCTCGTTGTCACTCTGTCGCTCCGAAAGCAGGTGTCTTCGGAAGCTCCTTTGCCTTGCTCACAGCCTTGCAGATCGGCCTAGCGCCAACTCTGATCTTTTCCGGCTTATCCAACATAATCACAGGGTAAGTTAGGAGGGAGTGAGCCAGTTTCATGGAGCATGTATGCTGCTTTCTGCTTGTGTAAGTTCTGTGAAATGTCTGGCGAGTCCTGTCAGCCTTGCTAGGAAGAGCGACAGGAAGTTGTCGAGAGGAACAGAGATAGAGTTTGTCTCGCCTCCTTGTCCCCGCGTGCTCCTCCACCTGTGCCATCATTCCACTGCGATGAGACGTCTAGAGGAAGCAGGGCAGGAGTTTTTGAATGACTGGCCGAATGCAGACTGACGTTCAAAGTCCCGATGTGCGTCCAGCCCATGAAGTCTATTGCTGCCGTCGCGCTGTCAAGCAACTTGACTGAGTCCGAGGTGAATCAGGAGGAGGAGTTGTAGGAGCTAAGGGAGAGGAGGAGGAAGGTGCGCAGAAGGGAATGGAAGAGAGAGAAAGGAGGAGGGAGAACAGGAGGGGAGAGATCAAGAGGAGAGAAAAGAAAAGAGGAGAAGGGAGAGGAGAAGGCGAACAGTGGAAGGGATGCTGAGTGCAACCTGTTCAGATCATGGCGAGCGGCATACTGACGGGAGCGATAGTTCTCTTCCTGGGGCTTACCAACCTCATCACAGGAAACACACGAAAGCTCTTTTCCAAGACTGACACTCCACTTGCAGTCATCAACAAGATCATTCCGAACTCAGTCGTCCGCGGGCTGCAGCTCGGACTTGCTCTCAAATTCTTCTCATCTGTGCGAAACGTTGGTGGTGCCATGTGGCTGCGTGACTTGCGCTGGTCAGGCGTTGAAGCTCCTTCATAACTCGGGCAAGCCGTCTTGGTCGTACGAGAACTGGGTGCACTGGGATGGCTACCTCATGGTTGGATCTTCCACCTCCACTCTCTGTTTGTCCCCTCCTCTTGTTCCTTCTCGTCCTCGTCCTCGTCCTCGTCCTCGTCCTCGTCCTCGCACTCCTGCTCTTTCTCTTGCCTTGTTTGCATGATCTGAACTTTTTGGCAGGGGATGTTTACCCTCTCGTTTGCTCTCGTCTTCGTTCGATCAAGGAACGTTCCCACCGCTCTTGTTCTCTTTCTCTTTGGCATCATCGTCGCTGCTGCCCGCGTGTATCTCCTGCCTCCTTCTGTTCCTCGTCTCTGACCTTGTTGTCAGTGCGCATGCTGGAGAAAAGATCGTATTCGCAGCCCCTGACGTACATGTAAGTGAGAACCAGGATCATGAAAGATGTTTATTTCCATCTCGCCACCCTTATCATGCTGTTCTCTCTACAGTTAGCAAACTCTGTTGCATCTCTGGTGACTTCATTGCAGGTTGTACACTTCACTCAGAACGACTTCAAGGTCGGGATTCTCGAAGGAGCCATTCCGCAGGTACTACATCACCCAGAGCACTTGTTCTTAGATTCTGGACTATCAACACTCATCATCATGGCTGCTTCAACCATAGCAAACAAGATCATCATCATCCGTTTACGTTCTTCCTGCCCGTTTCAGCTTCCTCCTTCCTCCTTCTCTCCTACTGTCAGTCTGCTCTTATAACTGTCTTGAAGGTTCCGACAACCCTCCTTAACTCCTGCATTGCCGTCTGTCAGCTGGCAGAGGATCTCTACCCTCAGCGGCAGACGGGAGTTAACGTTCGCTCCGTCTCGACGTCGGTGTGTTTGCGAAGAGAGAGAAGAAAGAGAGACGAGAAAGGGGAGGGGGGAGAGGGGAGAGGGGAGAGGGGAGAGGGGAGAGGGGAGAGGGGAAGGGATAGAAACATAAAGCAGGAGAAATCGGAGTGGGAGGGGAGGTCGTGAGGGAGAATCTCAGGAATATAGATGGTGAGAGCGGAGTGGAGGAGGGGAGAAGGAGGAGAGAAGAGAGAGGAGAGGGGAAGGGAGGGTTGGAGGCAGAGATTTTGATGCAGGTTGGACTTATCAACATTATTTTCTGCTGGTTTGGTGGCATGCCAATGTGCCATGGATCGGGAGGACTTGCAGGGCAACACCGGTGAGTAAACCCTCCTGTCCTGTCCTGTCCTGTCGTGTCGTGTCGTGTCGTGTCGTGTCGTGTCGTGTCCTGTCCTGTCCTGTCCTGTCGTGTCCTGTCCTGTCCTGTCCTGTCCTGTCCTGTCCTGTCCTGTCCTGTCCTGTCCTGTCCTGTCCTGTCCTGTCCTGTCCTGTCCTGTCCTGTCCTGTCCTGTCCTGTCCTGTCGTGTCCTCTTCCCCTTCACTTCTACTTTCCCGCTTCCTTCTCCTCCCTCTCCTCCTGCTGTATGATTCCTTCTATCCAGCTTTGGAGCGAGGACCAACCTCTCTATCATCATCCTTGGAACCTGCAAGTTCCTTCTCGGCCTTCTCTTCTCCGCCGGCCTCCTGGAACTCCTTAAGTTCTTCCCCCAAGCCATCCCTCTCCGCTCTCCTTGCGGTTCGAGACCATCCTCTTCCTTCTCCTCCTCCTCCTCCTCCTCCTCCTCCTCCTCCTCCTCCTCCTCCTCCTCCTTCTCCTTCTCCTTCTCCTTCTCCTTCCCTCTCCTCTGTCTCATCTCCCCATTCCTCTCCCTCTCTCCTTCTCTCCCTCTCGTCTCTCTCCCCCAATTCCACCCCTAACGATTTCCTTGTAGCTCTCCTCTTTCGAGCTCGGAGCCGCTTCCCGCAGCGGGATGGTGATTCATCTACCTTCCTCCTGTCGCTCTGCACTCCACCTTCTCCTGCGTTTGTCTTCCACATTTCATCCTACCCACCTATCAACTTCCTCCTGCTCCTTTTGCCCTGAACCCCTCGCTCCTTTTCTCCACTCAACAGCATCTGCTTCCTTCTTCTATCCAAACCATACCAGATCCCCTTCTTCTTCCCTTCTTGACCACCTGGCCTTCTCCCTTTTTCACCTCTCTCTTCCCCCACGACTCTCCTCCCCTCGCTCATCCCTTCTAATCTGTCTCGCTCCCTCACGGCCTGACTCTCACCTTGTACCTTCCAGAGCGGCAGCCCTGATGAGATCCGAGCCTACCTGGTCACCTGTTGCTTCACAGCCTTCATGGGAACCTCGGAAGGATTCGTCATCGGCCTTGTTGCTTATTACGTGATCTCGTCCTTGTCCTTGTCCTCGGCCTCGTCGTCCTCGTCGTCGTCCTCCTACCTGCCCTCCTCCTACTTCTCGTCCTCGTCCCTCCCTTCCTCCTTCTCCTTCTCCTTCCTTCTCGCCTGCCAACACCTAACTTGCTCTCCTGGTTCTTGACCTTATTCCCTCCCCTCTCATTCTTTTCTCCTCCGCCTATGACCCTTCTTCCCTCAGCTCGTAGCGTTCTTCTCCATGTTCGTCGGAAGCGATGAAGCTATCGAGGAGGTAGCCTCCTCCTCCCCCTCCCCCCTTCTCTCCTCCTTCCTCTCTTCTTCCTCTCAGCCTCGCTTTCTGTTTTTCCCTCCTTTCATCGTCCTCGCAGGCCCGCAGCAACATGCGCACCATGAAGTCTGACCTAGTCAAGTACTTGACCTCCATCCAGCCTCCTACCTTCTCCTCCCGCCAGTGGAAGCGCTCCAGCCTCTCCTCCAGCTGATCTCCTCCCCCAGCTGTCAGCCTGAGCTGAGAACATGCTGGGAGATACTCTCAGCAGTTGTTGGCCTGCTGATCAGCGCCATGTTCGATGTTCAGAGATGTCAAGAGGGGAACGAACTGAGCTCTGAGTAAAAAGGCTTCCCCCCACCCCTCACGATGACTTCACCGCTCCTCACAGTGACAGCAGCCGTGCAGTGACGCGGCTCCAAGGAGGAGGGCAGGATGGAGGAGAGAGGAGGAGAAGCAAGGAAGCAGCAGGGTCGATCAGAGCAGAGAATCCCCTGGCATATCTTCTGAACCAGGTTCAGAGTTCACGTCAACCGGGAGCATTGTCGTCTCAGTTGAGTTCGGATCATCGTTTCAAGGCTGCAAATCGATACAAGGACCCTTCTATGATCATCACCGGATTCGATTCATTCACATCTTACATAGATACCTATTCGCATTAATATCCCCTTATTTACATCCTTCAAAGAATAAGTGCCCGCTGACTCCCTTCCTCGTCATCGTCTATCCCCCGGCCTCCCTACGCATGGAAGCTCCGCCTCCCGCCCCTCCCCTTCTGCCGCCCGTATCGCATCCTCCACAAGCTCGATCGACCGCCAAAGCGCCATCAGCTGCTTCCTCTTATGCTGACTCATATCTGCCCACTTCTTGTCGCTCAGTCCGAAGGGATACTTTGCTGCTTCTGCTCCTCCTGTAGGCACGTCTTGGTAGGAGGAGGCATCGGGCTGCGCTCGTGCGTCGAGCATGGAACGAACGTGGGTGGGGGACATGAATGTTGGGGAGGGAAGGGGAGCAGATTGAAATGGAGGAGGAGGACGGGGGAGGACGGGGGCGGCCTGACCTCACGTCATCATATCTACGAAAAAGATTATTTTCGATAGCTACATGCATCGAATCGATGCGATCATGGACTTTGGTACCCTGACGTAAATCTCTGGTCACGATTTCGACATGGCCTGGGAGGGCCTGACTTTTTACTACCTATGGCGACATGAGTTGCAGCAGGCTCGCCTCAGTGTGTTCGGGCCCCGGGCCCGGAGTAGGCTCAGTCACTCGGAAGTTTTCGTAACGGCAATGATAACTGACGACTCTTCGGCTCGTCGGCATAGAAACGAAGGTGGGTGGAAGGAATGATGCCTGACGCAGACGAAGCCGAACCAATGCTGGAGAATGCCAGTGAATATGATGACGACAATGATGATTTTGATGACGATGACGATGGTGGTGATGGTGGTGGTGATGGTGGTGGTGATGGTGGTGGTGATGGAGGAGATGAAGATGGAGATGATGAAGGTGATGGTGATGATAATGATGATGATGATGATGACGACGATGAAGATGACGGTAGTGGTGGTATCGGTGGTGGTGGTGGTAGTGCGGTGGTAGTGGTGGTAGTGATGGTGATGATGGGAGAAATGGTGAGGATGATGGTGATGATGGAGGTGGGCATGGTGTGGGATGTACAATGCTACCAGATGAGATGGTTCAGAGCTTGTATGGGAGGCACATTAGTGGAAGCTGCCGTATAGGAACATGGTTCCATGGACGAAGACATTTGTGCAGCAGAAAGAACTAGGATAGTGTACAGCAGTTCCTCTTTCTTCGTCTTGGTGTGCTAGACATTTCTGCGGCATGTGCTAGACATGTCTGTCACTAGTATTCATTGTCTCATGTTCACTTCTTCATTGTCTTATTCATTGTGTCATTCTCACCTTGTTCGACCTGTAATCATTCGTGTCTGACTCGGGCATGCAGATGTCGTTCCATGTTGCATCCGTTCTGATCCTGTTGGGGTTGGTCCATTGCAACGCTTCCGCCATGGCCTCACATAGCAAGGCACCGGTAGGCTCCATCTTTGTGCCTTCATGCTGCGTATATTGATCTCCATGTGATGACAGGAGCAAGCAACAGGGCGCAAGTCAGACCATGGCCTCCCGATCTCCCTCAGTCCTCCGCACCAGCAAGCGTTGCCTGAGAGCTCTCATCCTGACCTTGCCGCCAACACCGTCATGAGCTTGTGGGGAGAGCCGGACCCCGTCAGGCTCGTTGCCTGCTCGGACGGCTGCTGCAGGCTTGAGATCAACCACAACGACGAGTGGGGGACAGTTTGCAGCGACTGGTTCGACAACTATGAGGCGGCGATGGTGTGCCGGCAACTTGGGTGCTCGGGAGGAGGGGTGTTTGGGAACTATGGCTACTGGCGCAGCAGGGGATCTGGACGGATCTGGATGACGCGGGTGCAGTGCAACGGCTACGAGTCAGGGATATCTTTCTGCGGGTAAAGGAGGAGAATAAGGAGGAGGTGGTGGCGGTTTTGGTGGAATGGAGGAAGAGGGGGAAGGGGGAGGAGGAGGGCCGTAATTGACATTGATTTCAGGCACAACGGATGGGGCAACGTGAACTGTGACCACAATGGCGACGTGGGAGTCTGCTGCGATCGAGGATGCACCTCAACGGCCCCAGTAAGGATGGAGGACTGCCAGGAGGATGGATGCTGCAGGCTAGAGGTGAAGTACAACAACGAGTGGGGCACAGGTGAGTTGTGGTCCAACGATCCCTTCCTGCTCATGCTGACATCATCGTTCAGTCTGTGATGATGGCTTCTCGGTGAGAGACAGCTGGGTTGCATGCAGGCAGCTCGGCTGCACTGGCGGTCGACGCATCTACTCTTACGGAGGAGGGAAGGGTCCCATCTGGATGGACAAGGTGCAGTGCGGAGGAGGAGAGTATGCTCTGTCGGAGTGCCCGTTCGGAGGCTGGTGGTACCAGTGGGGCAAGCACAACTGCGATCATCATCATGATGTTGGGATCTGCTGCGATGGCGGATGCAATGGGCGAGGAGACCCTTTGAGGATGGCGGATTGCCGGTATGGAGGAGAGGCGGGAAGGAGAGCGGGGAGAGAAGGGGGGGCGATCAAGAGATCGGGGGAGGAAGAATAAGATTGAAGGATGGACTGAGACAGATGGGTTTGGAGGGATGGGGTCGAGAAAGAAAGTTCGAATGGATGGGTTGAGAGAGAGGGAGAGAATGAGGGAAGGGAGAAAGTAGCGAGTCTGCGAGGAAGGGGGAGGGGGGATGAAGGAGGCTAACGATTTGATTCAGTCCCGACGGCTGCTGTCGAGTCGAGATCAACCATGACGGGCAATGGGGAACCATCTGCGACGACAGCTTCTCCGAGCATGACGCTCAAGTGGTATGCAAGCAACTCGGCTGCTCCGGAGGGCGGGGAGTGGAGAGTTTCGGCGGAGGACAGGGTCCGATCTGGATGGACGAAGTCTCCTGCAGCTCGAGGGAGGCAGCGCTTTCTGCTTGTGCTCAGAACGGGTGAAGCCTCCTCCTCGTCATGTGCTGGGTCCACTGACCTCCGGCTGCAGTTGGGGCCGTCATGATTGCAGCCATTCTGAGGACGTCGGTGTTTGCTGCACTGGTGGCTGCATCCGTGGGAACGGCAACGGTAAGAGCAGCGGAACTCCCACCGCACATCTGCATCCTCCTCCTTCTTTTCCCTCTCCCTGGTTCCTCCTCCTCCTCCTCCTCCTCCTCTCCGTTAATCTTAATATCCTCTCCTTCCGCTCCCTGTCCTCCCTCTCTTCTGCTCAGTGTATCCCCTGCGCACTGCATCACGTGCACGCCCCCTCCCTTCCCCTTCAGAGGCCTTGGCTGACTTGAAATGACCAGGTGGTTATCAAACCGCAACCGCCCCCCGCACGAATGGGCGAGACATCCGAATGGCAGGTCCTGACAGTACACTGTCCCTCCTCCCTACTCCTCTCTACTCTTCACTCCTCGCACACCTCCTCCTCCTTCCCACTCCTCACTCCTCCTCGAGCTCTTCTCTCTGAAACTTCTCCCTCTCGAGCTTCTACCTTCTACCTCTCCTATTCGGCTGCTATTCCTCTTTCTCTTACTCCTCCTCCTCCGTCGATTGCTATTCGTCTTCTACTTCTAAGTGCCACTAATTTCGCTGTCCGCAGACTGCACGGAGGATGGATGTTGCCGAGTCGAGATCATGATGAACGGCATGTGGGGATCAAGTGAGTTGACGTGTACCTGCTCAGCTGCCCCTTCATGTTTCTTCCTCCTTCCCGTCCTGCATCTCCAGCTCTCCTTACCTGGGCCTAAACCCTCCTCTCCTTCGGCTCGTGTCTCTTTCTCCTCCTCCCCCTCCCTTTCCTCTCGTCCTTCTCATCTGCTCCTCGCAGTCTGCGACATAGGATTCTCAGAGGCCAACGCTGCCGTTGTCTGCCGCCAGCTCGGCTGCCCCGCGGCCGGAGAGGTCATGAAGGGCTTCGGGCGAGGGACTGGCATGATCTGGATGGACGGGGTGCAGTGCCAGGGATCAGAGGGAAAGATTCAGAACTGTCCCTCCAACGGATGGGGGAGGCACGACTGTACCCACGAGGATGACGTAGGGGTCTGCTGCCGGGACGGCTGCGGGGTACCTCCTCCTCCTCCTGTGCCGGAGGATGATGAGGAATACGACGAGAATGATCCCGAGCACCGGAGAAGAGTGGAAATTCCTCCTCCTCTCCCTGTCCGACTCGTTGGCTGCACTGCGACCTCGGTACCCGCTCTGCCTCTTATACCTTGATTGTTCTCCTCCAGCTCGACGATTTCCTCCCCCATCCTGGTTTCCCTCCTCCCTCCCTTGCTCCTCCTTTTCTCTGGTTCCTCGTTCTCCTGCTGGTATCTTGCGCCCCCCCCCCCCCCGTCCACTCCTCGATTCCCTTTCCTCCACTCATGCTCTTTGACAGTCTGTGGGAGGATGCTGTCGTGTAGAGATCAAGTACAGTGGAATGTGGGGAACAGGTTGGTAGAGCTGGAAGCGTTGGCGCGAACTGACAAGCGTCTAGTGTGCGATGATGGCTTCAGCGATGCCAACGCTGCAGTTGTGTGCCGACAGGTTGGATGCTCGGCGGTAAGGAGAGGAGAGGAGAGGAGAGGAGAGGAGAGGAGAGGAGAGGAGAGGAGAGGAGAGGAGAGGAAAAGAGAGGAAAAGAGAGGAGAGAAAAGGGTGAGGGGGGGAGAGGGAGAGGAAGGGAAGGGAAGCGAAAGTGAGGAGATGAAATAAGTTGATTGGAGGGTAGAATGGAGGAAGTGAAAAATCTAATCCACATCTGACCCGCTTCTCTCTCTCCAGCGTCTCTCGCCCCTCGTTCGGCAGCAAGGAAGAACTTCCTATCTGGATGAGCCGCGTGAGCTGTACAGGGCAGGAGGTGAGGAGGAGGGAAAAGGAGGGAGACGGGCTAGAGTTGACGCGCAGAGCAGGACGGGATCTCAAACTGCAAGTTCGCTGGATGGGGCAAGCATGATTGCGCTCATTATCATGATGTTGGAGTTTGCTGCAACCCTGGATGTGCTGCGCAGGACGCCGGAGTAGTCTGATGAGGATGGAGGACACAAGTGGGAAGGAGGAGAAAAGGAGAGGGAAAGTTGGAGGAGGAGGAGTGTGGTTTCGGTGAGGGATTGGGCAAGATAGCCATGTTGCTGATTGCGGTAGGACGTGAGAACACGCGTTTATTAGTGTTGATAGTCGTGTACTCTTGAACTCCAATCCCACGTGAGCAGCACGTATCTTGTTGTATATTTTACAGATCAAACGTCTTCTAGAGTACGACTCAATAAAGTTAAGATCTGGTCTACTCTCGTTGTTAACATGTCCAACTTGACATCTTGAGATTTTAGCATCTCCTCATGCTCCTTCATCTTCCTCATCATTGCACTTATCACATCTCCTCCTCCTCCTCCTCCTCCTCCTCCACATCCACATCCATTCTCATGACTCCCTTCTCGCGCCCCCCCATTGGCCCCATTGGCCTTCTCGTCTCCCACACCGGCGTATCCTCCCATCTCTCCCTCCTCCCACTCCTTCACGCTCGAGCTCCCCAACGACGTCTGCCTCCTCAGCTTGTTAAAGCTCTGCTTCTTGCCGAGCAGCGTCGGACTAGAACCTTCCACCGCCCCGTCCGCCCGCGCGTACTTCTTCATACGAGAGCTGCTGATTTGCTGCATTCTTTGCGTCGCCCTCAGCCACAAGTCCGTGCTGGAGGACTCCTGGTCCGGGTACTCCCTCCTGTACTTCCTGAGCACATGCATGACCATCTCTTGCCACCTCCGCACCGACACGTCCGTCCATGCCTCCTCCTCCGGCGGCCTCCGACTGTGAGCGAAGGAGCAGCCGTCGAGCTCGTTCTCAGACGACGCGAGGCTGTCCGAGCCCTGCTGAGGAGGAGTTTCATTCTCATGCACGGGGAGCCAGAACTCATCCTGGGCCCTCTGTTGTTGTTGTTGTTGCTGCAGCTGCAGCTGCTGCTGTTGCTGTTGCTGCTGCTTGCGCTGTTGTAACCCTGCTAGCATTTCCTGCCGGATGCTGTCGGGGTAGCCGGAAAGAACATACTCGAAGCTTTCCTTGGACAGGAAGTAGCAGTGAACGAGCGTGATGGCAACAAACTCCTCCATATCGTTGGGATGAACGTCGCCACTCTCCTCCTCCTCGCTCCCCTCTCCTTCCCCGGCCTTAGGGGCGGGTGTGAGGAGGGAGCGCTCGCCGAAGTAGTCTCCGGGGTGGAAGGTGGAGACGAACTCGTTATCGCGGACGAGGATGACGGTGCCGGAGACGAGGATGTAGAGATCCGTGTGGCGGGAGGTGGCGACGGGGACGAAAGGAGCGTACAGCTTCGTGGTCATGCGGGACCAGAGGTCGACTAGAAAGTTCTCCTTGCTGTAGTCCTGGATGCTCTGGAACAAGGGGATCTGCAAGAGCAGGTCATGCTGGAGGAAGAGGACGAGGTGGTTGTGGAGGTTGGCTGGAGTGAGCTGGAGAGTCTTGCTCCTCGCTACCTGCCCCTGCTTCGTGCGGATCATGAAGTCAGCCCAGCGCACAATCTTCTTCTCCACAGCATGAGGAACGTCCTCGGCCCGCAGGAACTCGATCACCGATCCGATCTCGTTCTCCCTCTCCCTCGAGTTGAGGTTTATCCTCTGCACCGCGTCCTGCACTTCAGCAAGGAGGGTGCCGAAGATCAGGACACCGCAGTAGAAGAGGCAAACACAGTAGATTCTCTCCGCAGCGTTGTCCCCCGAAATGTCGCCGAAGCCGATGGTGCAGAACACTGTGTTGACAAAGTAGAAGCAGAGGACGTAGCGGTCGAACAGGCCAGCAGTGGTCAGGTTGTTCTTCTCGAGGAAGAGTGTGCGCTGCTCCTCGGTGTTGGTCAGCTCCTTGATGAGCCAGAAGCAGCAGGCGGACACGTGGACGAGGAGGCAGATGAAGAGCATGGTCTTGATCATCCTGAGAGCAAAGGGCGGGAGCCGGAAGTACTCCCCTGCAGCAGCAAGGAGGTCCAACACCTTGCCGAACTTGAGGGTCTTCAGCAGCCGAGCTATTCTCAGAGGCTTCAGGGACCTCAGCACGCGGCCGAAGGAGGCGGGAACGTAGTCTTTGTGATTAGAGTCGTGCAGGCAGGACTTGTACAGGGCGTACTCGTAGTAGGAGACAGGGACAGAGGTCACCAGGTCGAAGAAGAAGCCGGTGCGGAGGTAGTGGCTGACGGTCCTCTGGAAGTCGTCCTTGTACTCTCCTTTCTCCATGAAGCCAACGAAGAACGTGAGAAGAATCTCGGCGATGAAGAAGGTGTCGACGAACATGTCGAACTCCAGGGTCATGTTCTTTTGACACGGGTCCTGGTTCCACAGGAAGCCAACGGTGAACGAGCTGACGACCCCCGTGTAGACGAGGAGGGATGCGGAGAGGGTCGTCACAGCGATCCAGAAAGGAGAGTATGGGTGGATCAAGCGGGAGCCGGGTAGCCCAGCATGCTGCGGCCCGATGCCAAAAATCCTCTTCTTCCAACCTCCCGAAGCACGCATCTTGTACTTTGCCTGCTCGATAGCATACTGCTTCTCAAGGATGGCCATCCTCTCCAGCCTGTGGCTCATAATGTCTGACGGAGCGTAGCTTCCCTCCTTGACTGACTTCTTTCTCTTATGAAGTTGCTCCTTGCCGTCAAATTCATGTGATACCGAAAAGCCAAACGACCAAGATTTCTCCAACGTCTCCTCATTGTGAGCTATAGCTTTCCGCGCAGATGCTAAGTTTCGGAACATTGCTGCTAGGACAAGAGATTATCTCCCGATCCTCTTGCGTCGCTTCCTCTAAAGCCCCACAAGCACAACGACTGTCAATACACAACAGTCCCCCACACCGTCACTGCACGTTGCACTGAGAAGCTTGCTCCCGATGAGAGCTGCTGTCACGAGCTCACTTGGTTCTCCTGCTTTCTTCTCGCGATCTCTACCATTGTTACCTGCATGGTTCAGCAGCTTTCTCCTCCCTGCCGTCACTGTCCTTCATCCATGTCCCCTGGGCCATGGTGCAAGGAAATTCCCCCGGAAGTACTTGCAGGTTTTAAAACGTCTAAAACTATCACAGTTAATATTGGTACAAATGATAATATTACTAATACTTCATACCTCTTGTTGGGGCTAAATTTAGATCTTAAAAATATTTAATAATAGCTCAAACCACATGGAAGTAAAAAAAAACAGTTTTTGACTACTTCTTTGTTATTTTTAGTTCCCGGTCCGTATCCCACTTGTATTTCCTAAATTTACTCATCCAAGGCCCTGGTACAACCGTGAAAACAACGGCTGAACCTATCATACTGCCAGTCATGATCATCCTGACTCAGTGAGGAGTACGGCACTGCACCCGGTGTCGGACCGGGCCGTACCTCAGTGACCGTGGCCGGAGGCCGGGCCCAACGGAGGCTCCGAGGCTCAGCGCCGCGGCCAAGTCGGCCCGCGGGACCGTTCCGGAAGCCCGGCGACTAACTTGCCGGCTAAACGGTTCCGGTTCAAGAGTCGGAAGTTCCGAGTTCCGAAGTTCTGAGTTCCGCCGGGAGCCCGCCCGTTCAACGCGGGGTTACGGCGGTTGGCCGGCTAAGCCTGCCCCGGGGGCCGTGCCCCCCGCCGGGCCGGCAGTCGGTCCCGCCGAGCCCCGGGGCGCGGCGCCTCTGTGCCTGAGCCCGGGGGCCCGGGCCGGCAGACTAAGCGGCGGGCGGCCCCGAGTCCGAGCTCGGAGCCCGGGCCGGGCCGACTCTCACGGTCGGTCCCGGGGCCGGGCCGGGCCGGGCCGCCGGGACTCGGGGTCAGTCCGCCGCTCGCCTGACGGGCAGGCTCACTGACTCATGCCCGAATCGAACTTCCCCGGCGGAATGACTCAGTGACCCGGGACTCCGGGACGCCCGGCCTCACTCTCCGGCGACTCACTGAGTCAGGCCCTCCGACTGAGCTCGGATGGCCGGCGCCCCGGGCCCGGTCCGCCGGCCGGGCGGCCCGGCGGGTCCGCCGGGGCCGGGTCACCGGTCACCCGGTTTCAAGGCCGCGAGTCACGGCAAGTCAAGTTGGGGGACAGCAGTTGGCAGGATGGGGTTCAAGTTTCAAGTTTGGTTCTCGCTGTCTTTTCTCTTCTCCGAGTCTCGCAGCCGAAGTTCAACCGGCCAGCGCAACACTCAGACAGTGTCAGTGAGGGTCAAGCCTCCTCGACTCTCCTGATTGTCCTCGTACTGATCTTCAAGTCAACTTAACTTTGAGAAAAGAGTCTGACCAGTATCGGACCAAAACTCGCCGGGAACCGTCCGCAATTCATGCTGATCATAGCCCGGCACATCAGACTCGGAGTTCATGATGCCATGATACCTGCCATGATCGAAAAGCTTCTCTCAGCTTCATGCTCAACCATCATTGCCTAGCACCCTGTATCAAAATGCACGATGACCAAAGTACACGACCCGGATGTATATTTCTCATGACATCCGTCCAGGTGAAAAAACTGCAATGTACCTCCCCGGTCGAGTCCTCTGCCGATAAACAGACCCCCACAGAGTTGCGCAACCCCCTTCCCTACCGTCGACATGCACGCGGTCTGTTTATTCATACCTGCTCATTGCTCTATCGCCCTAGACATGTACGCGTTGTACACCCTCCTCACGTCCTGGTTCATGTCTGGCACCTTCACCAGCGTCCAGCTTCCTTCCTCCTCCAACGATGACTGCAGCAGCCTCCGCTCTGACTTCTTCACTGGCATGATGGGGTGGCGAGCAGCTGCAGGGCGGATGCCGCCAAGGAGCCTCGGGACGCTGTGAGCTGGCCAGACGGGAGGGGCGAGGGAAGGGTGGGAGGGGTCCAGGTCGTCGCTGGAGGAGAGGGAGAGGTCTGCTAGAGCAGGGAGGGATCTTGAGGGCTTGAGGGAGCAGTGCGAGGAGAGCCATGGGGGATGGGTGACGGCGAGGAGGTCTTGCAAGGCCTCTTGCGAAGAGGATCTTGGGAGTAGCTGCACCATACTTTGGGTCGGATCAAAACTTTTGGATTCTTGAATGCGTATTGCAATGTATATGTTTTGTCAAGGTTGGTGTTCAAGAAGCTCTTGTTGAACGAGTGTGATGAATTGTTTCTGTGACGATTTTCTTTCGTTTGCTCGGGATCGGCAGGTTTTTGTATACCTTGAGCTGGAGGAAGACGAAGGGGAGGGGAGGGGGCGGGGGGGGACTAAAAAGTGGCAGGGAGGTGCAAACCATAGTTGAGTAAAAAAGGGAGGCCAAGATTTTGTTCGGTTCCAAATCACTCTTTTTCGAGTTCTTCTGAACCACCCTACCCCTCATTTCATTCATTTCAACCGGTACTGAGACCACCCCACCCTGTTCAATCAAACATGGGTGACTTCCAGTGCCCGGCCTCCCAGGCCCCATCACTGTCATCATTCCGTACCCGTCCTCAACACTATACCAAGTACCGGTACGATACATAAAATTAACCAAATTTATAAAGGGCACCGGGCCCCTGTGGCCGGGCCAGGACTCAGCAGGCCGGGCCCGGCCCGACCCTCGGAGCTCAGTAATACTTACACTGAATATAAAAGTGCTCCGGTCTCGACGAAAAAAACGTTTTTAAACGTATTAGTACGAAAGAGTCGCCAAGTGGCGGTTCCGAAACGATGTGTTTATCGCACCCGGCCCCCACACCACCCACCTCAAGCAACAATGTATGTACTCTGGTACCGGTACATTTAATGGAAGTGCGGCAGGGATTGACAGGGGTCCGGGGACCATCGGGCAGCACAAGTTTCTCGCACCCTGCCACGTCCTGCCCTGGTCTTACAGGCCCTTCGGACCTTCGTCTGTAAGCCCCTGCCCTCCCTTGGTGCCACGCCCTTCTCCTCCTCTCCCAACTTCACCCATTCAGGCTCCAGCTCAGTTGCAACAGTCTCAGCGGCCTCCTGACGGAAGTTCAAGAACATCTTTCCCCCTCCTATCAACCACTGAGTCCTCTAAGGCAGACGCAAGCCGAAGTGAAAGCCGTACTTGAACGGAGTCATTCATGATTCAGGTACAGGCTATGGTCCAGAATCTGCATCTTCCAAGATGCTCTTCGCAAGAGGCCTTGCAAGACCTTCTCGCCGTCTCCCATCCCCCATGGCTCTCCTCGCACTGCTCCCTCAAGCCCTCAAGATCCCTCCCTGCTCTAGCAGACCTCTCCCTCTCCTCCAGCGACGACCTGGACCCCTCCAACCCCTCCCTAGCCCCTCCCGTCTGGCCAGCTCACAGCGTCCCGAGGCTCCTTGGCGGCATCCGCCCTGCAGCTGCTCGCCACCCCATCATGCCAGTGAAGAAGTCAGAGCGGAGGCTGCTGCAGTCATCGTTGGAGGAGGAAGGAAGCTGGACGCTGGTGAAGGTGCCAGACATGAACCAGGACGTGAGGAGGGTGTACAACGCGTACATGTCTAGGGCGATAGAGCAATGAGCAGGTATGAATAAACAGACCGTGTGATGTCGACGGTAGGGAAGGGGGTTGCGCAACTCTGTGGGAATCTCTCTAGTTAGGTGGATGTCACAAGTGCGTTATTGAAGTGGAGGAAGTGATGCACAGATCGAAGAAGCATTGTGATGCAGCACATTTGTGAGCTATGCCATGTTTTGGTGCATAAGGTTTGTTGGAAAACAGAAGAACTTTTATCCTGAGGTATTCAAACTCATTACTCTTACTCAAATCATGTTTTATTCTTGTTGTAGTAAATTTTCGGTATCATATAGGAAATGTACAGACTCCTCGCCTCTGGTCTCCTCGCCTCAGTCTCGATCCAGGTGTACCCGCCTTCCTCCTCAAGCGATGACTGCAAAAGCCTCCTGGTCTGCACCTTCCCGAGCGAGGGCTTGGGGGAAAGCTTCTGGAGCCTGATGCCAGCGAGGAGAGGGCTAGGCTGATGCGAGGAGGAGGGATGTGATGCAGAGAGATCGCTGTCGAGGGCATTGAGAGAAACGAAGAATGAGCAGGGGCAGTAGGAGGGAAAGTATAGGTGGCAAGGATGGGAGGGATGCGAAGGAGGGATAAAGAAGAGACGACAAACTCTGTGCTGAGAGGCTGTCTTCTGTTGTACTCCTTGCAATGAGGCTTCGCTACAACAGCCCCCCACTGTCGCCTTTCCCGATCAGTTTGCGTTGTTACTACACGGGCGCCCTCTTACTTGGTTCTTTTCATTTTTACTACAACAAACCGTGGCAACAGGTGTGTCATTCTGACATTAGATTAGTCGTTTCGCTGACAAACGCGAAAAATGCATCTAAATTTAGAATGTCATCCGTTGGTCACTGTAGTAAATTCAATATCCCAGCAGCAGCCCCCCCTTATTTGACCCGGCCAGGTTTGCTCCCCTCCCAAAACTTCCCACCCGCCCCCCTCCCTAAAGGATTCTTTCCTCGCTCCTGTGCCCCCTCCCGTGCTTCATCATAGCAATGGTTCAGTCTCCAACCTCTCACTCTCCCTGCCACAACCTGCTTTCCTGCCCACGAGGACGCTCTCATCTGCAATGGGCTCTCCAATCCCCCAAGGAAGCCTGCCTCCCCTCTCTGCCTCCCTCCCCTGCCTCTCTTCCTCCCCATGCCCTCGACAGCGATCTCTCAGCCTCACATCCCTCCTCCTCGCATCAGCCTAGCCCTCTCCTTGCTGGAATTAGGCTCCAGAAGCTTTCCCCCAAGCCCTCGCTCGGGAAGGTGCAGACCAGGAGGCTTTTGCAGTCATCGCTTGAGGAGGAAGGCGGGTACACCTGGGTCGAGACTGAGGCGAGGAGACCAGAGGCGAGGAGGCTGTACAACGCGTACATATCCAGTATGATAGAGAAGTGAGATGCTGTAATGAGCTTTGACGACTTGAAATATCATCATTGAATAAAAACTCATGGAAATTCACCAGTGTTTTCTCGGATTGAGCGCGTGATCAACTGCGATGCAGACAAATGATCGTTTACTTCCCTTCAAATCTACATTCAAGCTCCTCCTCTTCTCTCCTCTCCTCTCCTCTCCTCTCCTCTCCTCTCCTCTCCTCTCCCTCCTAACATACACAAGAGGATCAATCCAAGCAGCGCCTTCTCCTCCTCTGCTCCCCTCCTGACTTCATCTATCCATCTACACACTCAGGGTCTTCACCGTGCACTCGTTGCACCTGCATCTGCCATGCTATCAGCGCGAGCAAGCACGAGAGTTCCTGCTCACCTGCCAGCTGTTGACAGCCAGAGGCCCAGCATCTCCACCTCGGATCCCAGGAGGCGGTACCGGCGCAACTTCGGGCACTGGGAGGGGTCCGTTACAGGGAGCAGGAAGGGGTTCAGCAAGCTCACAGAGCGCGTTGACCATCTGGTGCATCTTTTTGCGGTACCTGTTGTCTTTCTCCTCCTGCAACCTCTTGCGCTTCGCCTGCAGGAGGAGGCGGTCAGCGAACGACCCCTTCAACAGCGCTACTTACATGCTTGTCCATGACATCGATGCCTTTGTGCGGCTTCGCTGGAGGCTGGACGGGTCGATCAGAGCAGGAGAGAAGGAAGAGGAGGAAGAGAGAAGGAAGAGGAGTAAGAGAGAAGGAAGAGGAGGAGGAGAGAAGGAAGAAGAGGGTGAAGCTCAGGAGGATGAAGGAGGAACAGGATCAGGTGAAGGAGGAGGAAGGAAGAGGAAACAACCTTGCCGGAGACTTCATCTAGGACGACTTCCAGGCACCTGCTCGCACTGTTGACCCATGGAATGCGATGTCGGGGCTTGTGGCCTTACCTGCAGAAGTCGTTCTTGTCGGACCAATATTGCCGTTCCTCCTTTGGGATCTACACGCCAAGTCACATCCTTGAGCTCCTCGCACACTGCTGACGTCTCACTTTGTTCCTCCGCTCCCGATCTGCCGGGGCCAGGCATGCCTGAGGAACCAGGAAGGTTGCGTAGTCTTGCCCTGCTCGAAGCGTCAGGGTAGAGGCGAGGGAGCGGAGAGGGGGGAGGAAAGCGCAGGAAATGGGGAAAGCGAGAGCAAGGTGGAGAAGGAGGAAAACATGGTAGAAAAAGAGAGGAGAATAGGTGATAGGAAGCATGAGGGGAAACGTGTGAAAGAAGGAGGAGGGGGGGAGTGAGATAGACGAGCATAACGGACGGAAGGAGCACAGGGGTTGAGGTCCCAACCGCAATGGAGCAATCTCCATCCGAGACGCTTGAGGACGTCGTCGCGATGAAAGACCCAGGCCTGAGAAGACGTCGATTAGATCAACAGAACGAAAAGATGGAAGAGGAAGAGGAGGAGGAGGAGGAGGAGGAGGAGGAGGAGGAGGAGGAGGAGGAGAAGCAGCAGCAGCAGGAGGTGGTGGTGGAGTAGAGGTCGAGCAAGATGGGGGAAGGTTGAAGGGAGGACAAGCTAAGAGCCAACCTTATATCTCGTCCCTCCATTAGAGCCAGGGTCGTTGATCTTCACTGAGAGTTGAACCCCGTCGTCAGGGTCAACAACCCCAGCCTGACCCCCGGGCATGGCGCCTGTGGATGCTTCAGGGAGGAGAGAAGAGCTGGGGAGGAGCTGGACGAGACCTCCCTCCAAGGATTGCAACGATCCGTCACGAGCAAGGCTCAACCCGCAGCCTTGCTGCGTTCCTAGCGGTCTAGAAGCACGAGGTGAGGAGAGGAGAGGAGAGGAAAGCAGGAGCAGGAGATGACCAAGGAGAAGGAAAGAGAAGGTGGAGAAGGGAAGTAGAAGGGGAGAAGGGCAGAGGAACAAAGAAGAGGAGCAGCGACGAGGAGGTTGAGGACTCAAGAAACACAAAGGCTTAACCTTGGGCGGTTCGGGTCTGGAGGAGGGGGGACGTGATCTGCATCATCGTCGGGGTCCCAGGCATCGCGTCGATCGTCGTCGCCATCTGTGAGCTCGTGCATGTGCTTCTCGTGGTATCGGCTGGCCAGGAAGCATCAGCATCAGCAATCGCTCCTCCTCCGCCCCCCCCCCCCCGCAATCGCTCATCTCACTTCCTCTTCTTCCTCGTCTTCATCCTCCTACTCTCGCCCACTCTCCTCTCCTCCTCACCTCCTCATCTCCGCAGAAGATCGTTTGGCAGGGTCCAGCCACACTCCAAGCTGCCTTGCCTTCCCTCGAATGTGATGCTCGCGCGCGGCCTGGAGGCAACCGTGAGACGACGGGAGCTGAGCTCTTCAGCCTGAACCTCCACGTTCTTGCTCTTGCAGGTCGCCACATGCGCTTCAGCAGACTTGGCGAGCGTGTCGAGCTCCGTCTGCGGCAGGGGAAACTGAGGCGGCGACAGCAGGGGGAGGTTCAGACCTTGACGGAAGCGATGCGAGCAAGGGCGTTTGACCTCCGGCGAGCAGTGATCCCCAACCTGAGCCTCTCCTGGTCGTGTTCCGTCAGGCCAGACGGTCACTTCCCTCCTCCAATACTATCGCCTCCTCAACAAACTACTACTACCAACTCGTCCCCGTTCCTGTCTTCTCTCCTTCCTCCTCTCCTCTCCTCTTCTCTTCCTCACCTCCTCTCCTCCATACGTGCACACCAGCCCCTCCACCATGGGCAGCGCGTCCTTGGGGAGAGTACACCGGAGAAGCTCCCAGGTCTCGCGGTCTCCCGTGAGCAGCGAGCCAGCATGCTCTCGTTCTGTCATGGCCATGTTGCGGAAGAGCATGTCGATGTGCCGCACCTGCACAGCGACTAAGAGCCTGCGGAGGAGGAAAAAGGAGGAGAGGAGGAAGCGAATAAGAAGTAGAGGAGAAGAGGAGAGAAGAAGAGAGCGTAAGGATCCTTGAGAGCGTACCAGGTAGTCTCCTGGCATCCCCACAGGGTTCGACATCACACCCTGCATGATCTGCCCGGGGCCCAGAGGATCAGCTTGCTTGTCTACCATGGGCACCACCACGACATTGAGCCGCTGCAGCAGGTTGAGCCTCGGGGAGGAGAGGAAGCGATCAGTCCTTGCCTGCAAGATCTTCTCGCCGATCCTCTCACGAGACGTGGGCGCCTGGTAAGTTTGTGGCTCGAGCTAGGATACTGTCAAAATCTCGCAAGGGAGAGCGTGGGGAGGACAACACCTGCGCATACTTGCTCTGGGGACCAGTAGGCTCCTCGTTGGCCTGATACTGCGAGTGAGCGAGAAGCAGCTGCAGGCAGCAGGATAAGACCTGCTCGTTGGCGATCCGGATGATCTCTTGCATGGTCGCGGAGTACTCGTCGATGTAGAGGCTGATCAATCGCTGTCTTGGCACGAGCATCCAGTGCTCCACCATGTCGTCGAAGGACTGCTTGCCCATCAGGGCCAGGCAGACTCGGAGGAGAGCAGCGACGTGCGCAGGATTCGTGTCGTGATCTGACTTGATCCCGAACGCCTTCACGTCCAGCCGGCCCTCCGACACTGCGCACTTGAGCTGAACCAACCGCATATGCAGGGCAGTCGCCTGGTCGGAGAGGCGCATGGGGAGGACGGACCGCTGCAACGTGCTGCATCCCTTCTTGAGCGTCTGGGTGGCAGAGGGAGGGAGGGGAAGCTCGATGAGGGTGCTGGGAGGCGGCTGCTCCTGCCCCTTGAACTGCTTGGGATGCTTGTCCACATGGACTCCTCGGAGAATCTGAGTCTGGTAGGACTCCGCCTTGAAGAGAAGGGATCTGAGACGGTCGATGCAAGCGACTAGGATGTTGGGTTGTTTGTGCTCGAGGGCTGCGATCAGCCGGTCTGGCGGCACCTCCATGATCGACGACATGGACAGCTGCATCGGCATTCCGCCACCCACGCGATCATCAAGCACGACGGACATGCTGGGTCGACAAGGCGCAGGTGCTGCACAACTATCGAGGAAAGTTTTTCACCCCTGAATGCTCCTGTGAGGAATGTCAGAACGATGCGGAAATCGACGCAAGCATAGTGGAATATTGTTAGCTCCAAAACAAAGATACGGGTTACTTTCTGTGGTTAGCGTCTGTTCTTCAGCCTTGAGGAGATCGGATCAAACCGTATCAAGAGAGTAGTATGCGTCTTGATCGTCAATCAGTCAAAAGGGGGGGGAAGATGCCGCTAGCAAGGAGGAAAACGGGGCCGTAAGGGGGCAAGGCTTGCAAGTGAACACAACGGGGCAGCTGCTCAGCACACCATGGGTTTAGAAGGGGAAGGAGGGGGAGAGGGATGGGCTGTGGGGAGGAAGAGGTGGAGCGAGAGGAGGGTGGCATCCGTAGCGGGGAGGAGGAGGAGGAGACATGCTCTGCTAGGTTTTGAGCCCATGCCCTCCATTGCGACAAGAGGGTCAACAGGCTCCTTCTAGCATGGAAGTACTCGATGATTAGGGGAAACAGTGGTCGATGGTGGGGTGGGGGTGGGGTAAACAGAACCTAGTGGGGAAAACTTTCGAGACTAGGGGTACCACCAGGGTTGAGCAGTACCAAGACCGGACTAGGGGTGGTATTGATATTTAGTACCATTTTATTTTAGGTATACTATTTCAGTAGTCATGTAGTTCAAACATTCCGTACAAATATAAATATGTTTTCAATATTAGTACTGATTATTTTGATCAATATATCAACTGAAGGAGTTTGGCAAGGTCTTGTGGCCCGGCCATCAAAAATAACGGCTGTAACCGTACAGAGAGATTGGCGATACAGGGAGGGTAGGGGGTGGGTATAGAAAATTATGACCCACCCTATTCGTACTCAATGATATGGAGCTAGACGGGGTCTAATGTCCACGGGTCGTCAAGAATATCCAGCAGGGTTAGGTAGAAGGGGTGGGTAGTGGATGGTCCCGCAATGCTGGATGAGATGCGAAGGGTTGTGGAGATAGAAACAGCAAGTGGGGAGGAATGCTGACGGATCGATGGCATAACACCGCCTGTGCATGTGATCATGTGCTGCTTCTACTGTGTCCTTCAGCGCTTTGAAAGTATGTTCCTCATGGTTGTTGTTGCAAGTTGTGAAGGATGGGGTTCCCCAGCGACTAGTGTGTCTGCCTCAAGTGTGTTACAAGCTGTTGATATTGCCAGGTTGATGTCTGAAATCGATCATTCTTTTATCTTTGGCTCTAACGATAACCGGCTCACCTGTCATGCGAATGTCTTATCTCGGTCTCACTGAAGATTGAACACGTCACCTGTCACCTTCGATTTCAACTTTTCATCTGATTCCCCCCTGTGACGTTTAGTGGCCACTTGAGTGCAGAAGCCCTCGAGTGTATCAAATTGATCTTTTAATCCAACACTCTCTAGCATCCGCTGCTGCTCGAAGAAACGGGACCAACATACCCTTACAAAGACCTAGCTTTTCGACCTAGCTTTTGGCTACCCAGTACCTTCATCTCTGTACATCTGATTGAGACCCGAGCAATGATTTCCCTCCTCTGTAGTACAATCCCTGCGATCACTGAAATTTTCTCTCCAACAATCGTGATGACTCACTTCATGTTGTTTCCCACGCCTTTCCCATAGCACCTGTTCCCTTGCCTGTCTTGGCCTGCTTGATGCCTACTTGATGCCTACACGCGACTTTTTCTGCCTGTTTTATTGTGTTTTTCCATTTTCTCCCCGATCGAGCAATCTTAGTTATATTACCGAGACGAAAGAGCCCAAAGCTTTGAATGCCGCAAGTGACATTTTCTGACATCCCCCGTTTGTTCAGGCTGGATTTTCTCTTTCGCCATCGAAGATGCATTGTCTTCTTCGTTTCGTCGCTCTCTTCATCGCTGTACAGTGCATCTATGGCCAAGGTACATCTCTAGAGGCCCCACCATGCTCGATGCCCTGACTCTGCTCGCGCCGTCTCAGGATACAACCTGAGGAATGGGGGGAACGTAGCGCTTGCGAACTCTGAGCCACTGGTTACCGCGAGGACGATCGAAAGAGCGAAGCAGCTGTCCATGGGAACTCCCTTGAAGGGCATCCGAGTCTTCGTTCCCGAGGGCCAGACAGCCCAGCGAGCGGTGGAGAACCAGCTCGCTGCTCAGCACATCAAGATCGCTCCCAAGGGGACTATGCTGGAGGCTGCGGAGTCGACCTCAGCATACGCCAACGTGCCATGGTGGGTGTTCCTACTGACGTTCTTCGGATCCATCGGCACTATCTGTGCCATGTTCTACATCACTGAGAGGATGTGGGACAAGAGACAACAGAGCTGATGAGTGAGATGAAGTCGAGCCCCAGCGCATTAAAGACAGCCATTGAAAGCGTTCAGAACTGCAGCGCGCTAGTTTGAAGGGTGTCCTAGCACTACAGTGCAGGAGAGATGTGCGAGGGGGAAGGAGAGGAGTAGATCAGGGGCGAGCATAGTTGGACAGCCGCATGCCCCCTCCATCAGTGCGATGGTCCTGAAGCGTGCGAGGCTCGAAGAGGAAGGAAGAGAGCTGCTTCTAAGGACCTGACACGTCCTCCGACCTGCTTCCACTTGCTCTTGCGCCCTGTCAACGCCATATCCTCAAACAGCGATCACCTCACCCTCCTATCCCTTCTCGGCCATCAGCTCCCGCTCCTTCTCTGCAGCGCTGCAGGCAGGCATGCGCATTGAGGGTCTCGGGAAGGAAGAGGAGGACCCGGTGGTGCAGCAGCCAGCGGCTTGACGAGCCGCCGGCTGGCGATGAGCTGGAGGCGAAAAGTCAACAGGTCCAAACCCAGGAGAAGGCGCAAAAGGGGCAGGAAGGAAGGGGGGGGGGAGGGGGAGGGGCGGCGGAGAGAGTGAGGATGGCGAGGTAGGCATGAGAGGGAAGTAACTGTAAGCTCCTTCAGCAGCTCCTTGACGTCAACGTGAAGATCACCCCGATGGCGACAGGATCCCGCTCCCTCGGCCTCCCCGGCCCCTGCAGAGGTCAGGCATAGCAAAGGGATGGGAGGTGGGGATGAGGATGCAACACGAGGCCAAGATGCCTCAGGAGGAGGAGGAGGAGGAGGAGGAGGAGGAGGAGGAAGAGCGAGGAGGAGACGAAGGCGCAATGTGCACCTCCCCTCCTCCGTTCGTGCTAGAGCCGTCAGAGCTATCAGTCCTAGTGTACCTCTCCTGCCTCTGCCTCTGCTGACTGCCGCCATCCATGCAGAGATCACCGGCTATGAGCCGCATCGTGCGGATCATGCGGCAGCAGAGGATGGGAGGGAGAGCGCGAGATGGCTGACCGGACTGTCTGCCATGGCAACCAAGAAGGATCCCCCATCGTTGTGCGGGAGGTTATCATGGTAGGAGGACGTGGATGTCTGTTGCTAGAGCAGAGATGATCGAAGTCCTTTCAGGCTGCTGTTCTTCCCTTTCATCCTAGTCGGCAACTCAATCTTCATCTTCCTTCTACCTTGCCTTCAAGTCTACGCGGACAGGTGGCATGCTGGATAGGTGGCGTTGAGGGATGGGTTGACGATGCTCAGGCTCTTTGGGAGATGTTTCATGGGCATCGGGCGCTACTGCTGCTGCTTCTGCTTCTGCCGATGCTGGAGGAGGAAGAGGAAGTGTGTGTGCTTCGAGTTCGAGGTGAAGATCGAAGAGAGAGATGAAGCAGGAGCAGGAGCAGGAGCAGGAGCAGGAGAAGGAGCAGGAGCAGGAGCAAGAGCAGGAAGACAACTGAAAGAGCAGGAGGAGCTAGTGGATTGTGATGGGAGGAGCAGGAGGAGCAGGAGGAGCAGGAGGAGAAGTAAGTGAAGGAGTTGACGAGGAAGACAAGAGGTGGTGGGAAGGAAGGTTGGGGAGGGGCAGGGTGATAAGGGAGGGAGACAGGAGTGGAGAGGATGGGAATGGTAATCCAACGCATGCCCGAACAGGACAAGTCGTTTCCTCCCAATTCCACATCGCTGGGTAACTGGAAAGGAAGGCAAGCAAACAAGACCCTCCGTCCCCTGCTTAACGCACGTGGCAGGTCAAGGGAGAATCTCGATGCGGCGATCCTGTGGAAACGAGCAGGAGACTTGTGGGAGGGCCCAGCAGCTCGGCTGTTCAAGAAGAGAAGCTCACCGGAGGACATCGCGCAGGTTCCTTGATGGTTGACAGAGGAACGAGAGCTGAACACGCTGTTGCTGCTCAGGGGCAGCTGGGGGACTGCTGGTAAGGGGAGGGAGATGGAGAGGGGGTGAGGGGGTGGCTGTAGCAGGGGAACTGCTGGTAAGGGGATGGTGTTGGGGAGGGGCAGTGAGAGATGTTGTGGCGCAGGCTACTTGCTGCGCTCGCGTGCTTGTCCGAGCGAGCTGGGGCGATCGAGAGATGTTTTGAGACGCGAGAAATCAGCGTGAGAGGACTGTACAAGCTCAAGCTCTATGATGGGCAGCGAGAAGAGTGAGAGGAGGAGCAGGGGAGGAGGGGAGGAGGGAAGGAGAGGAGAGGGGAAGAGGAGGAACTGGGAGAGGAGAAGGGGACGGAGAAGTCAGTAACGGGCCTAAATAGATGGGTTCGCATGATTATCGACGATTACCTTCCAACAGAGCACGGTCAGGTAAAGCAGTTCTCTACCCTCTACTCTCCTCCTCTGCTCCTCTCTAAACTTACCATCCTGTTGGTCTTTTCTTGTCTCTTGCCCTCGTTTTCTTCCTGCCTCTCCGCAACATCCCACCAACTGATACTCCACAGCCAATCTTTGCTCAGCCCAATGGAAGGGAGATCTGGGTTCTGCTATTGGAGAAAGCTTTTGCAAAGGTTGCAAATCAAACTGGAACAAATTGAGGAGACTGACCTGTTCCTTGTCTTGTCTTCATGTTGTTTTTCTTCATGTTGTCTTGGCTTGCATTGTAGTTTTGCGGAGACTATCAGTCCCTGGCAGGAATGAAACGCTGCAGTCATCCAGCCAGATCTCAGTGATGGTATTGGAACAGGCGGGCATATCCTATGGGCGTTTCAAGCCATGACGGGAGACAATGTGATGCATTTCTCCAAGGAAGACAGCAAGTGAGTTTACAGCTCTTGCTCCGTCCCGTCTGCCTGACTCGGTCGTTAGGTGGTGCAGATACGACATGCGACAACCTACTGACGAGAACAACAAGAGGAGAATCGGGTTGAGAAAGTGAGCGCTAGATGAGGGAAGACAGGCGGACAGACAGGCAGGGAGAAAGACGGGAAGGAAGGGAGGGAGCATAGGAGGGAGCGTGGAACAGAGGAAAGGAAGGAGACAGAGGGACGGAGAAAGGGAGGGAGGAAGAGAGAGAGGAGGGGGGGGGGGGGAGGGAGGGAGAGAGGGAGGCATCCCAGCTCGTGATGCATTTCACCTTCGTCATGATGTATCTTCAGCCTGACGTCTCTGGACCTGCAGAACGGAGCCGCCGGAAGAGTACAAAGACGACGAATTCTACAAGATTCTACAAACTTACGATGCGGTAGACAGAGGCGTTGACAACCCTTCTTGACGAGCCACCTTGTAGCTGAGGTCTGTGATGGGAGCGGGTTCGGATCTGGATGGTTCTGTCTCTGTGAGAAATCTCTTCTCTGTTGGTTCATGTTCTCACATGTTCCTACTGTTCACACATTTTCCTCCTTCTCACATTTTCCTGCTGCTGTGACTTGTTGGATGTTAGTCGAGAAACGGAATTCGACCAGGTCACGCGTACAGGTAGGTTTGAGTTGTGATGAAGAGCAAACTTACTTGAGCCAGCATCATCTCAACGCAGAAAGTGAACAAATTTTGTATGTTGCAACTGCGCGACCCCTGGGGGGCATTTGATTGGTCGGGTGAGAAGACAAGAAGAGAAGAAGGGTGAAAATTGAAGGAGGATAGGAAGAGAGTGAAATTCAGAGATGAAGGAGAAGAAGACAAGTCGATGGAGAGGAGGACGAGGACGAGGACGAGGACGAGGACGAGGACGAGGACGAGGAGGAGGACGAGGAGGAGGGGGACGAGGACGAGAAGGAGGACGAGGAGGAGGAGGAGACAGGTAAAGTGAGATGAGGAGAACAGGGTAGTTGTTCGAGGAAGTAGTAGAAGATGAAAACGTAGAAGAAAAGCAGAGTGAATAGAACAATCAGGGATCGACTACAAGTCCACGAGGATAGAGGCAGGTGGAGGTTGAGGACAGTTGCCAACTCTCATTTTAGGTGATTGGTCGGCCAAGAGTTCACTATGGAAGCAACATCCCAACGTCGCCAAAGTAAGCAAGACTTTGACGTTTCCAACAGAATTGAGGAGTTTCCGATCTCTTTTTGAACTCTTGCACGCAGGCGTGTAAGTTTGACGAGAGCGGGAAAGGATTCTTTTGGATGGAGATGAAGGTGACTCATGAGTCGAGCGTTCGGGCAGTTTTGATCTGAGAGTTGTTGGTAGGACTTCATAAGACATTTCGACTACATCGACATATGTCACAGGTAGCAAGCGTAAAAGATGTCGGACAAACTATCTCATCATTGTCGTTCCTGCAACCGCAACTATCTACTTTTCTCGCTCCAGACAACAACACCTGCAAATCTTCTTGAATACTTCTCATATCTATCACCTCAACCAAGATTTTGTTTTCAACAATCATTACAATCATTACAATCGTCATCGTCGTTGTCATCGTGAATGTTTCACAGCAAACTTGAATGAGAGCAAGCAAAGACGTTGAGAAAGTGATGACTGGGCATCTTGTATCAGGAGGACAGGAGTGGGTGACCTCCGACTTGAGATCGACGAAACATCTGGATGCTGCGGCCCTTTAAGCGGATGCATGTACTTGCTCTAATCAACCATGATGATGATGAGGAGGAGGAGGAGGAGGAGGAGGAGGAGGAGGAGGAGGAGGAGGAGGAGGAGGAGGAAGATCATGATCATGATCATGGAGGTGGTGGTGATGATCATGGTAATGATAGCAAAGATCTGTTGTCCGTGTGCTTATCGCCTGCCTTGAACCTCAAGTTGGACAATTCTGATCGTCTTGCAGGAAAGGCTGTGCGTCCTACTACTGCTGCTGTCGAGGATGCAGTGCTCTCTGTTGCGAGCAGGAAAACTTTCTTGAAAGATGTCAGTGAGAACGTGACGTGATGTGTTTGAGCAGGAGAGCAGGACTGAGACTGTCAGACCGAGCAAAACATGTTGCTGTGTGTGACGACAGGGATTTCACACCGCAACGAGAAATTTTTATCGAGTTTCACAAAATCTTTCCACAAAAATTTTAACGGTGGAGAGAAGAGGAGAGAAGATTTCAACCTTGGACGAGAGACTAGATCTTCATAGTGACTCGCTTTGATAACTCTGTGACGCAAATCAGGAAGGCAGTCAAGGAAGAAAAGATAGAAAGAGGAGGAAGGAGACAGACGAACGGGGGGAAGAGAAGGAAGAGGAGGAAAAGGAGGAGCAGGAAGAGGGGGAGAATGGAGGAGCAGGAGGAAGATTCGTTCAGGCATGTCAGTTTGGTATGTCCGGTCATGTTCACCTTCGAAAGTTTTTTCATCGGCAAAACTTGCGATGACGGGACGACCTGAACGGAAGGGATCAATGACCAGACAAGTACCGAAACACCAGAGAGATTGAGAAACAGAACTTGATGCCGTCACGATCACATGACAACACAAGGGGAGAAACGATCAAGACGACGATGAGACAGAATAATGAAAAGAAATGAACAGAGCAAGACATGGAGGAGAGTTCAGACGCTTCCAAAGCCTCTCACCGTCAAACTTCACTCCGTGCAGCCCTTGAGCGGCCTTGAACGCGATCTGAAACGACGTCAGGCTGTCATGGCAGACTAGAGACAGCATGACGAACTTTCTTGTCTTTGAACAAGATTAGAAGTTTCCCCTTCATGTGCGAGCAAGCTGGCAAATCCGCAGCTTCTGTTCCCCGCACAACGATCGCCTGATCGATCTGAACAAGTTTGAAGACCAAGTGAGAAGAAAGGAGATGGGAACAAACAACATTAAGAACAGCTTCAAGATATGACAACTGTGCAACAAGAATTCTCTCATGGTAACCTCTCCAAAATCTTCCATGCACTTCAGTTTGGTGTCTTCTAGGATGTCCTTGCATTCCTACACACGTTTCAATCATGGCATGCCAGTGGAAGGCAACGACGAGACTGACCGCATCGTCATTGAGTTCTTTCTCCGAGAAAACTTTCTCGAGCACAAGAACAGTTGTCGCTTCAGACTGCCATGGGGTTGAGAAACTGCCTGGTTCTCATCTCATCCTCTTCCTCACCTCGACAGGTTCTGAGTTTGCCTTCTTCTTCACCATCTGGCTCTGAGATGATCGGATCATGTCGATGTTGATCCCTGCGAGTGAAGTCAATGACGAAGAAGCTCCTCCTCCTCTACTTCTCCATCGCAACACTGCACTCCCTCTCCTCCAACACCGAGGGCGTGGAATATCATCATCATCGCCATTATTATTGCCATCGTCATCGTCATCTTTATCGTCACCGGCATCGTCATCGTCATCGTCGTCATCGTCATCGTCATCGTCATCGTCATCATCGTCATCATCACCACCATCATCAGACATAGCTACAGTAAACTCCTCTTCCTCTTCCTCTTCCTCTTCCTCTTCCTCTTCCTCTTCCTCTTCCTCTTCCTCGTTTCTCATCAATAGCTCCTCCGTCATGAGCATCACCGTACCGAGGTATCCAGTTCCCATCACTTTCCACGTCTCCTCGTCGCTCAGAGGTTTGTAACCTTCCGCAAACGACACCTGATCGTCCTTACAGCCTGCAGACCCAACGCAAACAAGCTCACCTTGAGGTGGTTGTCTCCGTATTGGATGCCAATGAGGTTCTGCGCGAAGACAACGTGTAAGACGTTGATATGGAGCACGGAGATCGATGATGCAGAAACAAATTCGGATGGAGGGAGAACGAGGATGGAGATGATTGTGAGGCAATCGAGATGGAGGATGGGACAGCAAGAGCCTGCAGAGGAGGTGTAGAAAAGCTGAAGAGAGGTCAAAGAGCGTGAAAGAACGCAATGTCAAACAAGGAGGGAGCACGGAAGACTGAAGAGCACGCAAGGACTCAAGCACGGCAATGAAAAGTTTCATGGTTATGATCGTCAGGATTTCAATCACCTGGGTAGCACTGAGAGCCTCTTTGACAGTTCGGAACTCTACAATAGCTGCAACCCTGTCAGACTTGCAATCTTGCCGGTTGAGAGTTGAGCACAAACCAGAAGTTTTGTCGGGTAAGATTTCTGCGTTGATGATAGCAGGACCGTTCTTGATGTTGAGCTGGTGCGAAGAGTAAAACTACAGCAACAACACCATGATGCTTGCTCGCGAAATCTCAATTACCACCATCATCATAATCATCATCACCATCATCATCATCATCATCATCATCATCATCATCATCATCATCATCATCATCATCATCATCATCATCATCATCATCATCATCATCATCATCATCATCATCATTGTCGTCGTCGTCGTCGTCGTCGTCGTCATTGTCGGCGTCGGCGTCGGCGTCGTCGTCGTCAGCAGCAGCAGCAGCAGCAGCAGCAGCAACAGCAGCATAGCAGCATGTGTATTAGCAGCAGCAACAACTACAACACAACAGCAACAACAGCAAAAGCAATCCAGTTTCACGTATCATCATCCACTTCTGTCAGCATTTACCTTGGACGCCTCAAAGAGAGCATTGAGGAACGACATGAAACCTGCCAGTCTCTTTCAATCCCCCCCCCCCCTCCCTCCTCCTCCTCCTCCTCCATTTCACCACAACCACCACCACCTCCTCCTCCTCCTCCTCCATTTCACCACAACCACCACCACCACCACCACCTCCTCCTCCTCCTCCTCCTCCTCCACTACCACCACCACCACTCCTCCTCCTCCTCCTCCTTCATTCCACCACCACCACTACTACCACTACCTGCTCCTCCTCCACCACCACCATCTCATCATCATCAAAAACAACATCCTTCCTGGTTCCCCTCCTACTTTTCCTTCTTCCCCTCCTCCTCCCTCGGGTCTCATCACACCGGCATGCATCTCATCATCGTTGGGGATGTTGGTAAACTTGACTCGACGAGCTCTGGTGAGGAGAAACCATCAGCAGAGGACAGAGAGGAAGAGGAAGTGAACAGAGAGGAGGGAAGCAGGAAGGGAGAGAACGCAAGGGGTGCAGGGTAAAGGGCAGAGGAGGAGGGAGGTAGCTGCAAGGAAGGGAGGGGAAGGAAGAGGTTGGAGGGGAGGGGAACGCAAGGGCTCGGTCTCACCTCATCGTTATTTTCATCCCTTCCTCTTGTGAGACTTTCGGTTTCTGGGCGAAGCTAAGACAAACAAGAGGAGACATCCCCCAACCATAAACTGCCCTGCTCCTCCTTCTCCTCCTCCCCTCTTCATCTCCTCCTCTTCCTCCTCTTCCTCTTCCTGCCCCCTCTTCCTTCTTCTCACTCTCTCTCTCTCCTCATCCTCGTCCTCGTCCTCATCCTCATCCTCATCCTCATCCTCATCCTCATCCTCATCCTCATCCTCATCCTCACCTTGGCAATGAGTTGACCTGTAAAACGCCATCAGAATTTGTATTCCCACCGCAAGCGGAGAGCTACCGTTATCTCCAGCCGCCAGCCTCTACCGGAGTCGCAAGCTTGTCAAACATATACCAGGCGACAGGTGAAGTTTCTCCTTACCTGGAGCTGAAAGATTTGTTCGAGCTGCGCGGAGAAGTTACATGGAAGTCAGGAGCAGGAGCAGCAGCAGCAGCAGGAGCAGGAGCAGGAGCAGCAGCAGCAGCAGCAGCAGCAGCAACCAGAAGCAGCAGGAGTAACCTGATGCTGCTGAAGAAAGAGCTGAGTCTGAGACAGCTCCCCAGCTGTCGAGCATCAGTCAGTCCATTGTGACGGACAGTCGTCAGAATGATGAGATCATTTGAGAACGAGAGATCAGAAAAGGAAAGAGATGTTTCAGATGCAACAAGAGATATCGGCCAACAAGACAGATCAAGAGGATGAAGAACTTGTCCGTTAATGACGTTCTTACTTCCTGCCATTCCGATCCCCGCCAAGTTGGCAGCGAATGTGAAGTCTTGAGGCCTTGCAATCTTCAGCTCCTGGAGAACAGTCAGGCAGGACAGGAGATGGAGATGGAGATGGAGATGGAGATGGAGATGGAGATGGAGATGGAGATGGAGATGGAGATGGAGATGGAGATGGAGATGGAGATGGAGATGGAGATGGAGATGGAGATGGAACAGCAAGAGCAGATGTGGCAAAAGGAGACGGCAGTGATGTAGAAACGATGTATGAGCAGGAGGAGCAGGAGGAGCAGGAGGAGCAGGAGGGAGCAGATGAATCATCAAGGCTCATACTTGTCCGTTCATAAGCAGGCCGTCCAGGTTGATGATACAGCTGAGGGAATTCTGTCAGGTAGAACGAGGATAGGCAAGAGGAGAGGAGGAAACAAAGGAGGGATTGCAACAGAGCAGGAGGAAAACAGTACAAGACCTTGTTGCTTCTTCTGGAGATCGCAGCTGCACGAAAGCAAACCTTGAGTTGCTGTTCACGTAAACATCCGTCACACAGTCTTCCTCAGCAAGACCTGAGAACGCAATTCAGGGAGATGGCAATGAAGGCGGTGTTGAGGTTGCAAAGTTACAAGAACAGGCACACCCAACATGTTCAGAATAATCATGTTGAAGTCCAAGCTTTCAACATTCGATCATCGTTAGAAACAGCAATATCTCCATTTCCATATTATCTCATCTCGCCTCATCTCCATTATCATGAAATCCATCACCATGATCTCCATCACCACAATCCCAATCATCGATGTCTTCGTTACCTGATGATTTCATCGCTCCATTCATAAATTCCCTAACCTTCCTGTCAGAAATTCCATCCGGGAGGTTCGAAACTTGAATCCTGAGCACCGAAAGCGATCAATCAAGTTGATAGGAAGCTATTTCCCCACCATTTTTCTCTATTCTCTTCCCCCTGTCTGCTCCCCCTTCCCCTTCCCTTCCCTTCCTCCTCTTCTTCTTCCTTCCCCAATCCCCTCCTCCTCCACCTCCTCTCATCCCATCATGCATTACCTGCTCGCCTTCTTGTGGGCCTCCATCTGTGTCCTCAGCTGGTTTGCTGACTGCAGAGATTGCCCGAGCAGCTGGTGCAGCAATGATAGGAAAATCAGAAGCAGCAGGAAAGGCAGGAAATGCTAGCAGGGTTACAGCAGCAGCAGCAGCAGCAGCAAGCAGCAAGCAGCAGCAAGAGAACGAGGACAGGACGACCAGATCATGAGACAAACAAGCAGGAGAGAGAGAAGGAGCAATAGCGCAATCACCAGCACTGGCACCAGCACCAGCACCAGCACTGGCACCAGCACCAGCACCAGCACCAGCACCAGCACCAGCACCAGCACCAGCACCAGCACCAGCACCAGCACCAGCACCAGCACCAGCTCCAGCAATGC